TGAGCCAGACTTTCTCGGTGCTGTCCGTGAAGGTTTGACGTCTCCGTTCGGGGTGTGCGAAGAACTCTTTAGCGGCTTCAAGGCAGGTGTAGACCGCGGAGTAGATTTCGGGGGATCAGGAACATTGCTTGAGAGAATGCTGGAGAAAGACATCGGGTTTGCGGTCCTTGTAGCCTTGGGCTCTTCCTTTGCGCGGATCTGACCATCATCTTCATCAATATTTCCTTGAGAAGATGGTAGGTCCATGGAGCCGTTGATTCGCGATGTGTAGTTGAAGCCGCTTTGCGGATGTATTGGGGATCCAAGAGCGCTTCTTGCAGGTGATTGTGGGATGGAGCTATGTCTACTGGGTGGATGTGCATGGGATGACGGTAATGTTGGCGAGCGCTGCGAGAGGTGACCGGTCGGGGAGTTGTATGTGACTGGAGAAACTTTTGGATCTGAGTACTGGCTAGAATATGAGGCCGGGTCTCGAGTCTACACCACAACTATAGTCAGCCACATGGAACGCTGGACACACTTCACTGCCCAAAGGACCTAGACTCACCTGACCCGGCGAGCGTGTGTTGTACTGTGATTGCTTCTTACTTGGCATTTCACGATGTTCCGACAATGGATCGTAGCGTGTAGAGCCGTCAGAATCTCTATGGGAATATGCCGAGCCGTTTTGTGAAGGTCCATTCGTCTTGGGAGAAGGCGGAGGTCCTAGACGCGGGCTAATGGCGGGAGGTTGTTGTGACATGGTTGCAGAGGTGGAGGGTCGAGAGGAGTATTGATGGTAGGGTGAAGGAGGATGTGTTCCGTTACCAGGCGAGTAAGGATGACTATGGGTCGGCGACTGCGGATGATAATCCCTTCGCCGGCGATCATTTTCCTCGTGGTATCTCCGCGTCACTGAGGCTGGAGGAGAGTGCATCGTGTTTGATGTTGCAGCAGCCAAGGTAAATGCGTGATCTCCTTGGCGAGTCGTTCGGGGCGTCATTCAGTCAAGAGAGCTTGGATGGGTGGGTGGCATGGTGTCCAAGTTGGAATAGGGAATGAGGCTATCCAGAAGGTTGAACTGTGGGCGAATGTAGTCATCAATGAAGCCACATCAGGCGCAGATCTTATTGTGCCCAGACAGGGCGCGGGTGTGGGTCAGTCAGCAAGGGTCGTGGATATTATTCGATGATTTTGGACCGGAACGACGAGGAGGAGGTGTTAGATTGTGGTGTTGCGATGATTTAGAGGGGGGAATGATGTGGGAGAGATTGCCGGGAGGATGGCGTTCCATTTTGTGATGGTGTTGGTCGGCCTGCTGGAAGCGTCAATCGCAACCAAACGCGAGCAAGATTATTGCCTACCCATCGAGTGGAAGCTTCGTTGGCGGAGTACTTTCTACTGAGATTTCATCACTGCAGCTACGACTACTCATGGAAATTCTTTCTCTCATCATTGCACATCAATGTTTTTCATCTATCTTATTTTTTATCATAAACTGACTATTACTCTTTGGAATGCGTGATCTTCTTTTCACGTACTCTTATCCAGCGGGCGCATGCTTGTTTCATGGGGGCAAGCTGAGTAGTACGTGCCCTTGATCCAATTCATTATTGAGCCTTATCCTTGTCCTTAGCTCCGGCTCGCTTTCTCCATTGCACCAACCAGATGCGGCCTACATTCACCAAAATTGCCCCTCGCTGCCGCTTTGCCTGTCCTACCACGCATATATGCACGGATGTCATCGGGGCATACTTCTGCCTCCATACATTCATTGCCCTTTGTCGGCAATTCTTGTCCCATGTGAGATTTCATCTTCGCTCTCCCGTCCAGGCCACCAAAGCCTTGATTACGACGACACCTGCAGAATAACGACATGGATTAATTCTACAACGGAGCTAAGGCAAGGTATGCCCTTCCCAGGCTATCTAATACATTCATCATGTGGTATAATCACCGTACTAAACCATCCCAAGTCATTTCCTAAACGCCGCCGCCGCCCTTCCTATTCTGATCCAGCAGCAGCCTGGGCTTGATAAACCCTTCGTCAAGCTGTGTGAACCACGCCGCTTGTTCTTCTGATGTGCCAGAAAAGAGTTGGCTGAATGCTCCGGTGGCACTCAGATCGACATCCCCGCTTGGCGGGTGGTTCGTTGCGGCATGAGATGATCCTGCTGCTGCTGCCCGAGGGTCACCCCTGGTTGGAGACGCTTTTATTCTTGGTGGCCGAGCCCGAGCTGCTGGCGGAAGGTCACTATCAGAGTATAAATCTTCCTCTTCGCTGGGCACATTGTCTCCTCGAGCCAACAAAGACTGACGCGCGAACTCGGCTTCCCTCTCCCTCTGACCGACAGTAGAGTTGTTGCGGGATGTTGGTCTGTTTGGAGGGCTGACGCTGGGTGTCCCACTACTATATCCAGACTCCGCACCTCCATTGACGCGGAGACCGTTCCTATCAACTGGAACACCGCTGCCCTTCCGTGGCTGTGGCAAGTAGCCCACTGCATTGCCCGCACTTTTGTAGTAGGTACCATTTGTAGCTGTTTCGATGTCAAATTCGTCGTCCGAATCGATCTCTTCGACCACGCCAGTCCGAATGCCCATGATCTCGAGCATGCGGGCGGTAGTGCCGCCAAATATGATGACGGTGAGGACAACCACCACAAGAACCGTAGCCTGTAGAGTGGGACCATTGGCTCCAGTTAAACCAGCAGCCAAGGCCACCCCGACAGCACCACGTAGTCCAGCCCAGAAAAGCATTACTTGATACGAATAAGGGAGCTCATCGGCCACATCTTTCCCTCTCCGTCTTGCACGGTAGCGGATGAACCAGTTGATGGCTCTCGAAAGAGGGAATACCGCACACCATCTTGCCGCGCATATGCCGATGATGGCAATGAGAATAAATAAGGGCTTGAAGTATAGTGTCGTCTCCGTGAACAAGGTCAGTCCGAGATAGATGAAGATAAAATTTTCTGACAATTGTGCAAGTGCTGAAAACATGTATTTCGTAGTCAATTGTGTACGTCGTGACATGTTGTAGTACGCATAATGTTTCAAGGTAATGCCACAGAATAAAAGGCTGACGATACCTGGCGAATATTTAGCATTGCCACCACAAGCGACCATCTATGTTTGCAGCCTGCACGAACCTGACATCATTGCTCCATTGGCAAAGTAGTAGCTTGCGTATGCGATCAGGATGATCAGACAGCTCTCAATCTTGGGAAATCGGCGAACAAGGGTAAATTTCAGTAAGAGGGCCGTTCCAATGCCGACGATGATTCCAATGATGAGACTCCCGAAGAACACCAGGAAGAATATACCAATAGCCTCGAAGAAACTAACGATGGTCAGAGAGCCGCCCCTATTGCCGTCCGGCTTATATCTCTGTGCCGTGTCGAAGATGACGATGGCGATTGCATCGTTCAAGATCGACTCTCCAAAGATGACGGTGTACAGCTTTGGGTCAACCTTGTACGTGTTGAAAATAGCCAGAATAGTGACTGGGTCCGTAGCCGATAACGTTGCCCCTACTGATATTGCCTCCACGAAAGATATCTGGAAGCCGTCAAGAGGTATCCGTGTCCACAACCACAAAAACAAGCCTAGCACGATAGCTGAAATGAAGGTCCCCGCAAACGCAAATGTCAAGATAGTGCCAATGTTGCGGAAAAAGTTTGCTTGATGTAGTTCGTATCCAGAGGCTAGGATGATCGGAGGAAGGAGTAGGTTGAAGAAGAACTGGTAGTTAAAGCTGACGGTGTTTTGGATGAATGTTCCCTCGGTCAGCTTTATTATCAGACCGGCGCCCATGCCTACACAAGTTCAGTCGACACATTACTTCAAAGCCAATGGCTGCAGAAAAAGTCCCACCAGCAAAGATTGAGATCACCGTTTCGTGTATCGCTTGTATCTTCTTGTGCTGTAGCATATAACTGGCAAACAAAGCCAGTATGAGCAGCATGATCAGAATGAACAATGCCCAGGAGGAGAAAATCTCCTTCTGTCCAGCCTCCGGCTCTGTAGATTCCCTCTGTCAGCCATCCAGTCGTTGGCCCGACGCCGAGAGTCCACTCACCGCCATCTTCCGGATCTGCCTCATCGTCGGCTTGTCTTTCTATACGAGTCGGAGTGTCAGAAAAAGTCCAGCGTTCTGTAGGGGGTAAGGCATCATACTAAGAAGCTCATAGACGGCGTTGCCCATGAGCGAAGCCATGCCGACGAAGTGCTTCTTTTCCAGGCGGCTCCCGGGACGAACGCATCTGCCTCAGCAATCACGGCAAGGCAACCTGTGTGACGGTAGTGATATTACGAAGACGGGAACACATCATCTGGCGAACGTCTTTCGATGGTTACTGAAGCTCCGCAGTGAGGTACTTGATCTACGCCAAGACTTGTCGCGAGAATGGTAGCCTTGGCGGGACTAGAGGTGTTATACAATCCGATAACCGATAATATGCACCTCGCGGCTACAACAAAATTCCCTAGCGGACTTAGGAACTACAGCCACAACCTGCTATTATTGTACTGTCCTGCGTGGATACAGGACATTCTTGCATTAAGTATTTGCTCGATGTCTTGAGGCCTCGAGGGTGATATCTTACTGATGGCTTTGATGATCTGCGCTAGTGCTCACTCCCGCCCCAGCCCCACCAAAGCGGGACCTCCGACCTCAAGCTTCGAGGCTGGCTGTTGACATTTGGCCTTCTTTACCTACATGTCCCAGTACAGTCTCGCAAAGATCGATCGCTCGCCCAGGCTAGAGACATCTCTCGCTAGACAGCTGCCTGGGAATCCTTTCTTTACCAGAACGGGCGCCTGACTTGGTCATTCAGCCCAAGTGCAGAGGAAACAGCAGACCATGGACCCATTCAAGAATTCATAAGACCCTCTTGGATCTTGACCACAAATCAATTCTCGTCCGAATCGACAAGTGCTTCGATTATACAAGGCTCCCACTTTCGCCTTCTACCGCTGCCTACCTTTTCCAAACCATCACGGTCGAAGCGTCGGGTTTCATGGCACAGGATCCATCAGCATCGCGCCCTGTCTCCAGACTGTCGAAGGAAAGCTCTCGGCAGCAAGGAACGACCGAAAGTCATGTCTCGTCTCCTTTGAGTTCTGCGAAAGACCGAAGTAGGCCAGGATCCCTTAACTTGAATGAGAGTTCGCCTCTGCTTTCACCACAGCGGTCCCAGGATGAGCGTGGACCCGAGGACCGCGGTACCTCTCCAGCACTATTAGACTGGAACGAGGGGGAAGAGGAGCAATCTAAGAGCACATTTTACCTCATCATATTGACCTTGGGCATCGGAGGGTGAGAGTACTCTACCCGTACCCTGTCAGCGTTCTATAAGAAAAATTGAGTACTGACAGGATGGACACAGGCTACAAATAGCGTGGGCGACGGAGCTGTCCAATGGCTCTGTAAGTACAGCGGCCCGATCAGACGGGTCTTGTGTGCTAATAGATTGATGAACAGCCATATCTTCTTTCACTGGGCATGAGCAAGTCCCTACTCGCTTTCGTATGGATTGCTGGGCCGCTCTCTGGTACTCTTGTTCAGCCGTACATCGGGATCCGAAGTGACAATTGCCGGTCACCATGGGGGAAGAGGGTACCGTACGTGTGATCCGGAGCCATTCTCCACAATGTGTACCAAAACATGAGTCGCAAGACATAGTCCAGGAGCAAAACCCTCCTTCCACTCCTGCACCTGTCTCCGAACTTAGGCTTCTTGCCTCGAAGAAACAATGCTGACTCCGAAATCTGCGTAGGTTCATGCTAGCAGGCGCATTCGCTACGGCAATTTCCCTTCTATGCTTGGCCTGGGTACGTTGTACATTTTGACGCAATTCTTCCCCATTTATGCCGTCTTATGAACCTCCAATTATGTCTCAAGAGTTCTCTGCTCCAAAGACATATCTCGCGATCCTGAATTTCTCCCGAGAGAGTCATGCTGACTCCGAAATCATCAAGACGAGGGAAATCGTGCACGGATTTCTCGGGCTTTTCGGCGCGAATCCAGAATCGCATGGTGTCAAAGTCTGCTCAATCATCTTCGCAATCATCTTCGTATACGTATTAGATTTTGCAATCAATACAGGTGAGTTCTGAGTCACATCTCTCGATGAATGTCGCTAACATTCTCTAAGTTCAAGCGGGCGTCCGCGCCTTCATAGTTGACTATGCACCAACGCATCAGCAGGAGGACGCCAATTCGTGGGCTGGCCGAATCACTGGCATCGGCAACATTCTAGGATACATCTCCGGCTACGTGAATCTCCCAGAGATCTTCCCCTGGCTAGGCAATACACAATTCAAGGTTCTCTGTGTCATCGCCAGTGTCTCCCTCTGCGGCACGATCGTGATCACCTCTCTCTACATCCGCGAACGCGATCCTCGTTTTGAAGGCCCCCCTTCCGAGGCTAACCCTGGGATCCTCAGCTTTTTTCGCCAAGTATTCAACTCGATACGTCGACTTCCCCCCCAGAGTCGCAAAGTCTGCGAAGTGCAGTTTTTCAACTGGATGGGCTGGTTCGGCTTTCTATTCTACATCACAACCTGGATCGGTCAATTGCACGTCAACCCTTACTTCGCCTCACATCCCGACCTCACACCAGCCGAAATCGACAAAGCTTGGGAAGACGCCACGCGGGTTGGCACATTCGCACTCTTGATATTCGCCATCACCTCCTTCACCTCCAACATGCTCCTCCCATTCCTAGTCGTTCCCTCCTACCACGCCCCTCCTCCCAAGACTCCTTCCACTCCGCCGCACCACACTCCAGGGACACCCGGTACCCTCTCCGCAAGTACATATTTCTTTCCGTCCGCACCTTCACCATCTCCAACGCTTCACGCCCGTTTAAGCCGCCTCTTGGACCTTTGCCAGATAAAATGGCTCACCCTCCGCCGTGCCTGGCTACTCTCCCATATTCTCTTCGCCCTCTGCATGGCCTCGACGTTCTTTATCTCCACCCCGACTCAAGCCACGGTCTTGGCCGGCGTCGTCGGCTTGCCATGGGCTCTCTCTTTGTGGGCTCCTTTTGCTCTCATAAGCGCTGAAATATCGAAACGAGACAGTGAGGCCCGGCGGGGAGGCCCCAACCCGAAGAACAAGCCAGAAGATCAAGCCGGTGTAATACTTGGTCTTCACAACGTCGCCGTTGCAGCTCCCCAAATCGTTTCGACATTGGTGTCGAGTGCCATCTTCAAGCTCGCGCAGAAACAGAGAGGAGAACCCTACGATACTAGCGTAGGGTGGGTACTTCGGTTTGGTGGACTAGCAGCACTGGTTGCAGCGGTCTTCACTTGGAGGATCAGGGAAGACGCGGAGCCGGTTAAGGGGAACGGAAGAAAGCGGGAGGGAGGGACCGGGGAAGAGGAGAGAGGTTTGAGAGATCATCAGGATGGGGAAGCGGTGTGAGTTGGAGTGGGATGAGCCAAGGAATTTTCGACCCGGGCATTGGACAGGCTTCACAGACTCGATACGGTGCATGGCCTGTGGTGAGGGAATCTATTCGATACCGATTTTGTCGGCCTAGGCTATCTCGATGGCAATATGCTCGATCACTATGGATTCAATGAAGGGCGATACCCTCCGCTTTCAATGCCGCTTGGAAGGGGCGTGTCCGAACTCCCTTTCCAAAAAGAATCCCTCTCCAATTCCTTCGTATGAGCCAGAAATCCCTCTCACTTCAAGCCTTGCAACGCCGATCCATCCCCCTTCCATCGCGGAGATGAGGGACCCATACCCACCCCCCAAACCTCTCTATCCATCTACTGCACCCCCTCTCTTCTCTTCTCTCCCCCTCTTCTCTTCTCTTCTCCTCTCTCCCCCTCTCTTCTCCTCTCTTCTCTCCTCTCCTCTCCCCTCTCTCCCCCTCTCTTCCCCTCCCCTCTCCTCCCCCCCCTTCCCCTTCTCTCCCCCTCTCCCCCTCTCTCCCCCCCCCTCTCTTCTCTCTTCTCTTCTCTTCTCTTCTCCTCTCCTCTCTTCTCTTCCCCTCTCTCCCCCTCTTCCCCTCTTCTCCCCCTCTTCTCCCCCTCTCTCCCCCTCTCTCCCCCACTCTTCTCTCCTCTCCCCTCTCCTCTTCTCTTCTCCTCCCCTCTCTTCTCCTCCTCTCTCCCCTCTCTTTCCCAGCACCCATTCTGCACACAAGCTCTCACGCTGCTCCTTGAACGCTTTCGCCTACTTGGGCCCCTTGGGGGGGTTTGTCGATATCCTGGCTGGATGAATGGATGAATGAATGAATGTGTCTGTCTGTCTGTCTATGCGTTGGATCGGAGACGGGTGTTGGTCTTATCAGTTACGGATGGAAGGGAGGGAGGGAGGAAGGGAGGAAGGATGTGCGTGCGTGCGTGTGTTGTGGAAGAGGAGGGAGGGAGGGAGGGAGTGTGTCTGTAAGGACGGACGGGGAAGAAGGTTGGTATTTCCTTTCCGCCATTACAACAACGTGTTTCGATTTCGCCCATCTATGAACATATCGATCTCTTTCCAAAAAACCCCCTTGGGCAAGAAGCCGACAAGGCCAAGGGAGGTGTCTAGTGCAGCAAGACATGGAACAAATCATGGCAAGGATTGCTTCCCGTTTCCACCGACGGCCGACCCGCCAGATCTTACTCTACAATCCTTTTGTTCTCCGACCGACCCGCCTCTCTCCGACACCATGCGTCGTTCGGGTCTAGCATGACATGCGTAATACGTACATTGGGGGGACCGCAAATGCAAGCTTCAGCTAATCAGCTGAGAGGGATGGGCTTCCACCCATGATAAAGTGACTTTCAAAGGAAATTAGAATTAAGCAAACGAGGAAGGGAATTCGTGACGTCGTGAGTATGTAACGGATAACGGTAGAAGGCGCATGCTATACAGCAACCAACACAGGCATTTCGACGCGCTTTAAATCTGTTGCTGTAGCATATGCTGGGTCGATATCATTTGAGGAGGCGCCATGACGTGGCCTGTTCCCATGCCGGTGGTTGGCAGTCGCATGGAGGCTGCTGTAATATTGGCCATTGGGCTATTGGTCAAACCATTCGTCAACCCATTCGACATGAAGCTGTGGTCCGGCGGTGGTGGAGATTCATCATCGAGTACCCCAAATTCATTCTCCTCGGCCTCAAGATCTTCGTCGCTGTAGGCGCCCACCTCGCCATCGGGGCGGGCTTCATGTGTGCGGCGGTGTCTGGGGAAAGGGTTAGTTAGCCCCCAGAATGATCATGAATTGGACATGCGTAATGCGTAAACTTACTGAGCAAGGTTGTCAGACCGTGAAAAAGCCTTCTGGCAGTGTGGGCATACGTATGGTCGCTCCTGAGTATGGGTTCTCACGTGTCTAAGCGCCGGAAAACTGTCAGCGGTTGCGGAAATTAAGGGGCAACTGTTCACAGATTTTGTCCCCCACAAGGGAAAACTATTTGGGGGTACATTTCCAGGGGTTGTCAACGTCGAGGAGGGAAGAGAGCCTATCAAACGTACCTTTTGAGATGTTCTAATCGCTTGAAAAGACGGCCACAGGTGGGGATTGGGCACGAATGGGATTTGTGTGGGTAAGGACCCAGCTCCATCAGAGTCGCACTCCGGGCTCTCCGCACGGGTCCAGGCCTATCACCTCGGGCAGCTACCGGGCTGTTGTCTATTGAACTGGATATGTTCTCGGCCTGATACCCGTTGTAATTGTCTTGTGGCGGCATCATGCCCAGGTTGTGTGGCGCTGGGCTACCTTCCAGAGTGGGCAACGGCGTGGTATGACGGGACATTTGCTCCAACATCTCCTTATGCTGCTGCACCATGTTGGCGTAGCCATTGGCCAAAGTCCCCGGTTGTGGTGAATTATGTTCGCCATCTCCCTCTTCTGGCCCAACTGAAGCGGACACCGACCGGCGAAGATCGCTCTGACGGTGTGGTGCGTGGGGCATGGCAGCAGTCGCAGTCGCAGTAGCAGTAGCAGTAGTGTTTGGGACACCGTTTGTCACGTTCGGTGGGATTGAAGACCTTCTTCTCCTCTGCTTGTAGGTAGGAGATCCCTCAATAACGGAATAGACGTTACTCGAGGGATACCTCTGAGTGGCGTTGTACTGGCCTCCCGAGAGGTTGGCAGTAGGCAAATGCATCAAGGGATTGTAGTTTTGAGAGTTATCAGGAATGGCTGTGTAGAGACCAGTGTCTTCGTTGGCAATGTACGCTGGCTCCGCTAGATTTTGTGCATGCTGAGGCGGAGTGACAGGCTCGAACGACATACCTCGCTGGCTGTAGTCTTCGTATTGCGAGGAGACGAAGGAAGGGGCCGGGGAGTATTCCATGTACGCGGGCATGGATGTGTGTCGTTGGTGCACTCGTGTGAGCGGGATGCCGTTTCGATCGTACTGCAGCTGTCCATAGTCCTGCTCACGCTTTATGAAGTTTGTTGCAGCGGTAGAAGGCATGGACACTTGAGAATAAGCACCCATAGTTTGCGGTAGATCTTCGGTGACCGTGGGCATTGAGCTGGGGACCATCTGTGGCGGGGGCATCGAGTCCACTGCACGCAGGACTGGCGAGGTCGATTGCGAATATGCCGAACTAGCGTTCAAGGATGAGGTGTTTGCTTGTTGACTCTTTGTGAGCTGCTCGAACAAAGACTGCGAGGAGTCGAACTCGAATGAAAGAGCTGGTTCGTTGACTGCCATTGTAGTCGCTTCCTGGTTCATCTTCTCCCTCTTCAAGTCTCTTTCCAACGCATCGAGGAAGAGTCGGTCATGTGGCACGCTGTACCAGTAAAACACCTTCTGCTTCTTTTGCGTTCTGATACAGTTGTTCTTGTACATGAAGTCGAGGAAGGGGCTCTTTGGCTCCTCGAGCGATGCATCGGTGCCAGACTTGAGGTTGCGCAGATCTGAGAAGATACCCTCCTCGAACTTCTTCGGATTTTTCACTGGCCGTCCGAAGGCTTGGAATCGGAAGGAGAGACATCGCACGATATCTGTACCGGAGATGTGAAACAAATTGTTCCTGCACGATATCAGGACTGCCTATCGGATGCTGGACCAGGGGATCAGGCTTCTTACCATAAGACACACGACACATACTCGCCCGTTGGCAAGAGGAATCTTCTAATATATTGATCGGGGGTCCAGTCCACGGGTGCAGAGATGAGAAAGTATTTGACTGGCAACGGAGTTAGCCCAAGTCCGCACAATGCCAGCAGCACGGATCGCAGGGCAGTGCGCCCAGCTGTCACCTCGTAGTATTCGGATACCAACACGAGGGGATGCTTACGATTATCGACCTGCTGCAGTGCGACTTGCGCATCTTGTGGAAGACTCTGTTGCGCTGCATCAGAGAGCATAAAGGTTTCTGGCTTCTGCGGCGGCGCCATTGCCGTTGGGTTGTTTTGAGAGTACATTGACATGGCGCTGTTTCACCCCGCAGCTGGCAGACAATTGCTGTGATCCCCTTGCGAAGAAAGTTTCGTCGTGGGAGGAGGATGCAGGAGGTGGTGATGTGGGCGGTGCTTGTGGCGGGTCACTCGCAGCTCGCAGCTCGCGAAAAGCAGTGTCAGGCAGTGGAGAATTAGATGGTTAACGGTGTCAGGGCAGTTTGGAGCGAATGTAATGAATCTCGTTCTGCAGGTACCGGCCTCGAGAAGTTTTGAAGTGACGCTGACACGATTTGGTGGGAAGGTTAAAGGCAAAAGTGCAGGGCCTGCCTGTGCTGTCGATTTCGCCTGTTTCCAAACCTTGCACCGGCAAGGCTGATGAATGAATGGGCAAGCGAAAACACTGGCCTGCGGTTGTTTCACGACCTAATGGACGCCTCAGAATGAAGTGTGTGAGAAGCTGTAGCGACGGGAAGTGAGACGTGGGAAGAGAAAATGGGTGCACAAAGGTATTTTGGATGTATGTTTGGGAACGAGTAAGGGAGGGGGAAGCGCTGGGTGTTTTAGAAGTTAAGAGGTTGTGTTTGAGAGTTGTCAAACGGGGCCTGGCCTAGAATTCGGTAAAAGGGAGAGGGGGGGGGGGGGAAGACTAAGGGAAGGCAAAGATATGCTAGGATTCAGGTTGGGATTTGTGTGTGTGCAAAACAAGCGCCAAATTTACCGGCGGGGGCGGAGGCACCTCTACAAAAAGATGAGCCGGCCGAACTAACAAGGGGGGCCCAAGGGACTAAGGTACTTTTGGATCATCATCCTTGCTGATCCTCAAGCCAGTCGCCAATAAAGTATTAATGGACTGGCCCGACACGGCCACTCTTTTTACCATCTCATCATCATCTTTTTTACATCTTCCATTTTCTACGCATTGATCATTGCATAAATTCATTCCTCATGACTACCTTACGGCATGTACTCGCGCAGAGTAAGTGACGGTAGCGGCCCCAACGACAATGAGTTGTGCGAGAATGTTTTGGTTCGTGGACTGTGCGGAAATGAGCATCTAGGTGAAAAGGCTAGAAGCAAATGCTCACCTAAGGCACAGCCATGCCAAAAGCCGAAAATAATGCCAACTCCAGCTGACTGGACGACATCCTGCAAGGCGCTCCTCTCCACCTGTGCTCCAAGACATTAAAGACAAAGACTGTAGTCTAGTAAGGGTTGTCAATCATGCCTTGCTTCCACGTGAAGCTGTCCTATCCATCACGACGTTCATGAACATTAATAGCTTCCCTCGGGAACAGACTTCGTCGAATCCTCCGGTTCTACGGAGAAAGTGGCTTTGCCAAACGTGGGTCATGGCTGTCGACAAGTCACTCGTCCAGCGGCACGCGAAAGGAAGGAGGCGTGGTACCTGCTGCAAGTGATTGGTTTGAGCTTGCAAGTGCAAATCTAAATTTGGGCGCTTACGGTCTTTCCGGTTAGCCCGCTTTTCGAGAAGCTCTCAAACTGGTTTCAGATTCTCACCCAAGATGGCGTAATGGCCTCATAAGAAAAGTGGTCAATCATCGTATGGCAATCTTCGAATTGACCTTGACTTGCAATCTGCAATCAAACCTGGCGGGCAACAGTTCTCCAATGGCAATGACTATGGTGACTATGCTGACTATTTCCACAAGTTGAGGTCATTGTTCTGCACGTCCCGCAACTTACCACCAGTGACTGATGACGCCTGTCCACACAGCAAAGGGCGATCAGAATCGGATCCCACCACGGCACGCTTCTATACAAGCGTGCTCTGTCGGCTCAAGCACCACCCTAGACGACGTGACCGATGGCAACTGGATTATCGCTAAAGCAGCAAAAGAAACTTGCTGGCCCTCGGTTAATGATCCATCGGACACTCCGGCCCCATCTGCTACCAAAGAACCCTGCGTCCGCGACTCGGCATGCTAAATTGCTGCAGTACTGTATAAATCATGCATCATTCTGGTGGCGTTACGTCGTCAAAGCTACGTGGTCGGATAGACCATAGAAGTCTCCCTCTTGCCGTCCCAAACGGAGTGGGACAAATCTCCGATTGGAATGGCTACGTACATTATTAGACCTGTCTCGCGGCAATCTGTAAGCCACGTGTGAACAATAATGCACTTCCCTCCACGAAAGAGCCGTAGTCATAATGTTGGCATTGTGTTTGATGGGAGAGAACTTGGGCAAACGTAGTATTGGTTCGGTTGCCAAGCTTGAGAAGGTCCAGATTGCATTTACGCAAGGCTCCATGAGTATTGGACCTGGTACTATGAGATTGAGGTTGCATAGCACGTGCTGCACTGTGCACCTTTGGTCCCAGGTGGATCTTCACCGCAGCGGGAAGAACCAAGACATGTAGTTCCCCGCGGTCGTACTGGGCTGGAAGAGCACGAATGGGAGACGGCAGTTTGATCGACGGCCTGAAACGGAAGATAGGCGCGCCAACGCACTTGCGCAAGAAAGATTTCCACATTGGGAAATTCGAATACCAACACACTTGACCACTTGTGCTTTGCCAAACTACTAAAATATGCTTAAGATGCAAGAGAAAGTGCAAAAGCTGAACTCTGATGTTAGGCTAGTCAGGAGCTGCTGATTGTTGATGGGCTTGGCCAGAGGCCTGAGCAATAAACATGTCTACAACATACAAACCTCCTAAAGGCCGTAACCCCAAGCTGGACGTCGATCAACAAGGAAGACAAGGCATGCGATAGTATGAAACCGAGTCCTACCACCACCCACAAGGATCCAGTCACCATGTATTAAAATTTCCGCTGGCTGGCTTCCGGCTATAGACGACAACGTCCGAGTCCACGCTGCTTCCAATATCGACTCTCGACCTGCCGTCCCGCTGTCAAAAAAATTGTTAATATGTACAAACCCTCTCCGGTACCTGAGCCTCGGAGGATGCATGCACGCTGGAGAGACGTCTGATGGTCAGTCGCTCCGTCGTCGCGCGAAGCTCACTCGTGGAAGGAACCGAGAAGCGGATCCACTAATGTGGATAACCATGGTGGATATGATTAGTAACATTGTATTTGTTTCTTTATTGTAAGCTACTCCATCGTTACCGATGGACTCTTCTTCCTAGCGCAATTCGACATGCCGTATAATGGCTCTTTGCTGGAGGCGCTTTTGCCCGAATGTTCGATATCACAACGGGGGTCCTGCCGTTAACCTCCAGCCACGAACATGCTGGGCGCCGACTCTGGATATGTACAGCGTTACTCTCTTCCCTACCAATTAAGATTGCTTGACTCCGAAATTCTCGTTAGACGTAAGTCAAAAGTGCCCACAGTCGTAGTCGTGGTAGTTTCAGATGAGTTATTAATGGCTGAAACCTCGTATTTCGGACGCCGCACCGATGCGCCAAACTCTATAGCCCAGTGTCTGTAAAGCCGACATATCGATAAGCTACCTTTTGCGTCTTGCACTCTTCTTCGGCCCCTCAATATCAGCGACGTCTTTCTTACTGAGCTTCAACATCCCTCTTTGAAACTTGCCAACGCTAGGCGCACCTATGCCCCTCTGTCTGATGGCGTCGCTCTTCTTTTTGCTTTTGGCTGCCTTCTCTAGGATGATACCGTTCTCTTGTGCTTCTCGTCTTCGGTGCTCTTCTCTTTCTGTAGCTTTTGTAGTAATTCCTCTCCTCTGAGCAAGTGGCATCTTCTGCTGCGCAAAGACGGATGTTTTGGAGCCCATATCCTGGAGTCGCAGGTCCAAAGCTTTATGCCGATTTTTACCGGAATGTGACAGCGAGGATTGTGGGTCCAGCAAATGAGACTCTTTCAGCAGCCGCTGCAGAGCTAGATCTTTTTTGAGATTGGCAGCGTCTGTGGATGACTCGTCATTCTCTGGTGACTCAGGCCATTTCCGTTTCGCTGTAGACGCTATCTTTGTAACCGAGGATGGAGGTTTTGCACTCTGCGATGATACATATTCAGCGTAGTATTGGTGGACGACACGACTTGCGCTCTCACCATGAATGTTCTGAATTCGTCCTTGGAAACATCCGCTTTGGACGGTGCAGAGGTAGCGTGGTGTACAGTCTCTGCATGCTCTTCGCCGTGTTCCGAAAATCCGTCCCAATCAGACTCGATTCCTTCGTCAGTCGCCTTGGTATCGAGCTTATGGACTAACGGTGGGTGCGCAGAGGAGCCTGGCAATGGTTCAAAGGTGGACTCGAAATGTTGCCGGAAGAGAGCTTGCAAATTGGTGGAGTCTTCGTCTGCAGGAGCTTCACGACTAGACTCAAGATCAGTAATTTGATCACGCCGCTTCCTTTTGCCCAAAGCTGGTGCCATACTTCGAAGTTGATATGTAGCAGCTGCAAAAAAGGAAGAAACTTGCTAGGCACGGAAGAATGCGGACAAAAGTTTCTCCGGATCATTCTAAATCTACAAGTACAACAATTCGTCCACAAAATTGTGCATCCTACCTTGCTGCAGTCTAGAGTGATGACACGATTCAGACCATGCATTGACTTGCATTCTGGTCAGGTGAAGCAGATTGTAGGTGGTACTCTGAGTAAGAAGGCCTCCGATCTCAAGACGAACTATGTCTCCAAACTTCCCTCAAGTCATTATGCCCAACTTTACAGAGATAGCGAACTAAGTGGTGCGCATGTTATCATGCTGGGGCCCGGAAATGAGACAGCGGCGCAAGAAGCCCTATCAGCGTGGCCAGGCGCCTTACAACTAGGTGGGGGTATCAACGAGACAAATGCAAAGCAGTGGATCGAGAAAGGTGCGGAGAAGGTAATATCGTTTTCTTTTGATGAATGCCTATTTTCATTTGGCTGAGGTCGCTCGGTAGGTCATTGTGACATCTTATTTGTTTCCAGATGCCAAATTCTCTATGACCCACCTCCATGCAGTCCTGCATGTGCTCAATCAAGACAGAAGCAAGCTAGTCATTGATTTGAGCTGTCGAAGGCAAGGCGCCAAATGGTCCGTTGCAATGAACAAGTGGCAGACTCTGACCGATATGGAGCTCGATGAAAGTAAGTCCTAACTGTTGCCAAGACTCCCCGGTGTATACTTACAGACTCTGGCAGAGTCTATAAAGCTACTCGAGCCTTTCTGCTCAGAGTTTCTGATACATGCCGCTGACAATGAAGGCTTGCAACGCGGCATAGATGAGGAATTGGTGGAGAAGCTGGGACAGTGGTGCACTCTACCAGTGACTTATGCCGGAGGAGGGAAGACAATGGATGACTTGGACAAGGTTAAAAGGCTCAGCAGTTCCCGGGTAGACCTGACAATTGGAAGCGCGCTGGACATTTTCGGCGGACAAGGGGTCAGGTTTGAAGACTGCGTAGCATGGAACAAGCAACAAAATACAGAATGAGCTGCAATAACAAAGAAAACCGGACCGTATGCCAGCTCTGAACATTGCCTCTAGGTGGGTATATGCCTAAGGACCATGCCTCTCTTGAGAACCTTCCTCGTGTTATCCGGAACATTGCCTTTGAATGGGCAATGCTTCTTCAGACCACACTTTTCTTTGGGAATGCTTGAGCGATTGGTCCTGTCCTCATGGCCAAAACCCTTCAGATGGCCCTGTTGTGGACCGTTTCGCCAAGAATCTTGCCTTCGCTAGCTCCTTAATCAAGTTTGACCTTTCCCTTCATTCACCTTAGAGATACCTGCTTCGGTGTCTACGTTTTAGCTCAATCGAATTGCAGTCAGCCCAAAATCTGCCTTTCGGTCAGACTATGCATCCTCAAATTGCCTATTTCGGTCGTGTCAGCCCACGTTTTGAATAAATTGCTGCAGCTTGCGGCCCACCGTTTTCCATTTCCTAAGCTTTTAATTATGGTTTGGCCCAAGGAAACAGTCGGATCATCCGGAGCAATCGTTGTTAGCGGAATCAGTCCCGGCGCGGCCCTTAGAGCTGGCCTTTGAGTTTGATATAGTCGTTTTTTAGTTTTTCGACTTTTCCCATATCATATCGACTTCAACCGACGGTCACACTTCCAGCGAGGTTTAACATGAAAAGATGATGTACTATCGTGTATGTTCGAGGTTGTGACTTCCTCTACCTTGCACTACACCCAAGAGAATTTTTCAAGGTGTGCTATGCACGGTCCACTTGGTCGTGACTCACGGTCTTGACTTATGGGCTTGACTCATGAGCTTGACATGGTATATCTATAGCACACATATACAGTCCATAGAATAATCAATCGATTGCTCAAGAACAAGAAATACTGCTCGCAACCCACTCACGATGGCAGGAGTAGGTGAAGAATGCTTTACATTGCCAGCAGTGACAACATCCATTTACACACTCAAGGGTAAATTGAAAATTTCGCCGGCTTAAAGACATATGTCATCTCCTCTACCTCACCAACTCGTGGTCTAGTCGCCGCATGCGATGTCTTCGGCTTCCATCCATCAATTAGCAAAGGCGCCGAGCTGCTGGCCGATGCTGTCGTCTCAATGCCGGATTTCCTTCAGGGCGGACTCCCTCTTGACGCCCACCCAGCAAATACAGAGGAAAAGAGAAGCATTCTGATGCACTTCATAAAAGCAGGGCAGACCCGCCACGGCACACAGCGAAGCTTCTTGATATCCAAAGGAAGCAGAAGAGAAATGGCCTAGCATCAAAGGCTGGGGTGCCTACGGCTTTTGTTGGGGAGGAAAAGCTCACTGCACTTGCTTCTGGTCCTGGCACACCGTTCGAAGCTGCGGGAAGTACTTCATAGCCAAGGAGGACGCTGAGAAGTTGACGATCTCTTACATTTGCTTGTTCTCGAGTCAGGATGTGTCACCGGTGCCGATGGCGGAGTATGGGAAGGCATTGAGGACAGGAAAGGGGAATGAGGTTGAGAACTATGCTCCTGTGCAGCATGGCTGGATGGTAGCAAGAGCGGACCTTAAGAAACAAGATGGGTTGAAGGAGTTTGCGAGGGGGTACTCGTAAGCAGGTGGCGAACTTTTTTGCGAAGCATCTCTAACACTTTCTCGGACCCGAGAGATCAAATTAGATCACAAATACTAAGTTTCGTCATCAGTCTTTGGCACTGCGTGACTGAAGTGCGCGATTGGTTGTAAGATCACACGAATGGAGGATGTCGAGGTCTGGAACAGAGGTCTGTCTCAGGATCCGGGTCCAAGCCATCCCAGCAGCCTTCTCTTGGTAGTCAACCGCCTTCGTGAAAGATTGGGGGGGTGGAAACGTGCGGGTCGGATTGAAACGGTACCAAACGGTACTAGCGTAGCACAGACATGTGTCTTTCTTTAACACACTCCGTGGTTTCACACTCAACAGCTTACAACCCGGGCGCAGCTTCAACTGCAGGCAACATCATCATCACCATCCTCATCATCAACAGGAAATAATATCATTCCTACTTTGCTTTCCATCTCTCCTCTCATTTGCATCGACTACTAAGATCATCCGACCATATCCAGACATGGCGGCCAATACAAGCAAAGACCAGCCGCCTGCATACACAAACAAACCAGGACGATCACGGATTGCCGACCGGTGACATCGCAGGACCTTCCACAACCCTAGCTCGCAAAACTTATCACTCGACCCGCGCCTCAATGCTCTCGCATGCCGTCTCTCGAGGCAAATGTAAGACACTCGAATACCTTGAACTCACATTCTCGGTCATGCTTCTCTACTAGGGTAGACTCGAGCCTGTTGTCCTTGCAATCGACGAGGATTATGACACGTTACTCCAGGACTTCCACCACATATTCGTCAATCCAAAGATAAAGGAGAGGATGAAGAGAGAAAACAGAAGGATGGGATTGATGGGGATTGTCTGGTAGAAGAAGTGGGGCGGAGGCGCGCTGCCGCCGTATGACTCTCTGGTGACGAGTGGCAACACTATTGCTATGTTACGGCATCTGAAGTCCAAGAATGGCATGGACTACATTTCTATCCACTGAGGACGTGTTGTCCCGGTCCCGGTTCGTCACGCTGCTCTTCCTTTCTTTGTTTTCTGGGTTATCCGTGCTTGCTATTTGGTCAACATTGTTCGAATCCATCTCACACCGACTATCACAACACTCTGCGATCATGCAGGTTGGACAAGGAAGAGGTTTTTCCTATCTGGGTTAGCAAGCAATTCTGTGACTAGAGGCGTCCATTTCTCACCTACGCACCACTCGAAGCACAACAACCCATCAGGAACTCCATATCAAGGGCGAAAGGCCGGTCATAGCGTATGTCACTGTACATACAGACCATGAAAGAAAGCTTCATCCCTGGTCATGTGCCATAACATTGTGCAAGCCGTTTCTCAATTGAGCGCTGAAACAGCCTACGTAGAGGCTGACGGACCTTCGAAAGGGTATCTAAAACTTGAGTCCTTTTTGGAAAAACCTTGCAGAGGGGTAGCTGTAGTCGTAAAAGTGCTATCGCAACGAGTCTTCGCCCAAGCCACCACTGCTGAGATAGCATCTACGGACTGCCAAAGGCAGAAGTCCATCCAAAGCGTGACGAATAGCGAAGGGAAGGCAGGCAAGCTGCCAGAACAGGTGGCCATCGTTGATGTTGACTTTAACCACATTTCAGGACATCTGAGGCATCAGAGCGACGCTTTTAACAACGGGCGGATAGAAGCAGTTCGAACGGAGCACATTTTAGACGACAACATTATATATTCGCATTCATCTTTTCCTTAGCAGCGCACCAGAGTGCCTCAAAGCTTGGCGTCTTGGCACCCTGCCCCAAGCGGCGAGGCGACGACACTGTTCCGCCGCACTGGCGGCACACCTCACATCAGATAGCCAGCGCAGCATCCTCGAGCCCATCTCACGATCTTTACCATCGATAACCTCGGCCCCAGCCAACTGACCGCAACCCCATCCCCGTTGGCGCTCGCCATCCCCTTATCTACCACCTCGCCCATCATCATCATCGATTCGTCACCATGAAGCCCGTCGTTTCCGCCCTCAACGCGTGGAGCTGGTGAGCCTGATCTACTTCCAGCTATTGAGACCAGGATGGGACTGATCGTGGATCGCGACACAGCGTTGTCGTCTCCGTTTTCGCAATCGTGATCCTTTCTATCATCGGCGGTTTATTCAGCGTATGTCGCCGGCTTCCCCAGCTCTGTTGCAGACACGTGCCAGTGCCCCGAGATGGATACAGATGCTGATAATGGTGTTTTTTCTAGGTGGGCCACCATAGCATGATGGGCAGCACGAAGGACCCAGCGGACGGAAAAGCGGTGGCTGGCTCGGTTTTTGCGGCCGTCGTTGTCTACGCGGTATGCTACACTCCGTCGGAGCTTTCGAATGGGGCTTCGGTTCTGGAACATGATCTGCTCCAGTGGATAAGAAGTAAGCTGATAGGTCGGGTCTAACATAGGTCTTCCTCGTTTTCTGCGGATTCCAGGCATATTTACATGTACGGCAAAGCAAGAGGGGTGCTATAACACTGAATTAGAGGCGTGGGGGGAGTACATGAGTGTGCGATTTTGAGGTGTAGGAGTCGGCGTTCTCAAGGCTATGTGGTTTCTAGAATGACCCTCTATCGACGTAGCCCGCTGGACGAAAGTCTGTGGGATTGGCTCAGAGAACTGGACATATGGAACAAAGATGCTTAGACTGTTCGTCTATGCTCCAGGTTCTGCGTGCTTGTGCACATTTCTATGCTCCATTCGCCTCGCTATGCCAGATTCCGATTCCAGGAATGCCCTGATAACTGAACTCCAGCGACGCACTAACTCCAGCCGAAGCTCATGATGGTCATTCGTCTTCGCAGTTATAATACTTTCAACGGTCATACCAGTCGTCGATTTCGTCACTGTCGTCTGTGCTCTTCTTTTTCTCTAGCATCTTTGACGCATAGGGACCGTCGAGGGTACATTGGGTTGTAGGCTTTTCATCGTCAAGACGCAATCTCAATCATTGTCATCATTGCTGTCGTCCTCTTGCATCCCGCCTCCAAGGATCTTACTCATATATGGCTGTCCTCAATCAGTGATTACTTCATTCACGTTTAAAAAAAGGACTTACTCCATCAAGGGTATATCCGAGCTTCCCGTAGTAAGATCGTACACCAACGCCAGAAATTACACTGATCTTTTGACTCCCGTGCTCGTCTCTCGCAATCCTTTCTGCCTCCTCCATCAGTAAAGTTCCGTATCCTTGATGCTGGAACTTCCTAGGATCTCTCGAATGCACTGGCACCGCCAAGCCGTACACATGCAGCTCCCTTACCAGACTGGTAGGTTGAGATTTCAGTTCCCGTCGGAACGTATGCGTGCTACTGCACTTTCGCAGTCGTAGCAGTGCAATCAAAATATCTTGCTTCGGATCCTCATAAGCTAGGAATGTCTCCCAACCTCCGTTGGCAGCGTAGTCTCTTCGTACTAGCTCGACCTGAGAAGGGCGAATCTTGTTCTTGACCTCGTTGATGCCTACCTCGCGTGTTCGGACGTCTCGGCAGGTAGTGCCAAAGTCCTTCATGCGACTCAATGCGAGTTCTCGAAGATTCCCATTCTCGACACCAGACGTTACCAAGGGCATTGGAATGTCTCGCTGGACTCGGTATATTCGGGTCCATGGGGGTACGAGGGCTAGAATCCTAGCTACCAGGTCTATTAGTGCGTTAGGGGTGTAGTTCTTGTATCTTCCTGTCCGCCATAGCTCGTACAGTCCGGTGCCCCGAATTACCAAGGTCGGGTATATCTTGAGACCGTCGGTACGGAAGTCTGGGTTCTCGAAGTATTCTCGGAATTGATCAAGGTCCCGCTCCATACCCACATTTGGCAAATCAGGCATCATATGGCTGACGATTTTGAAACCTGCATCCTTTGCCAACTTGAATGTCTCTGCTACCGATGCAACAGTGTGGCCTCTGTTGGTATCTCTCGCAACGTCCTCATAGAGTGATTGAACACCAATCTCCAGCCGTGTGCACCCGTACCGAAGCATACTGCTCAGATGCGGGTCCAAACAGTAATCAGGCCTGGTCTCAATCGTAATTCCAACACACTTGATGTTGCTCATTTCTCCAGCTTCCACGGCTTCATCCACATTACTCCCTTGATACCCACTCAGTGCATTGTGCAATTGTGATATGAATTCGTCTCGGTAATCCTCCGGTAATGACATGAAAGTACCTCCCATTATTATGTACTCGACCTTGTCCACACTGTGCCCTAGTGACTTGATCTGATCCACTCGGCCACGAGCCTGCTCAAATGGATCATAGCGAGCTCGTATTGCCCGCATTGACGTTGGCTCGTAGCCAGTATATGACTGTGTGGAGTACTCAAAATCGGAATCAGGACCACCAGGACAGTAGACGCAGATATTGCCAGTATAAGCAATGTGTGGACAACGATGGGGCTTGCACATGACTGCCACAACTGCAATACCAGACGACGTCCGTATTGGCTTCGCGATCAGCTTTGGAAGAATGTATTTCTTGTAATGTTCGGGCACAGCTGCAATTATAGCTGTTAATGGAGGCTGGTTGCTTAACCTATGTTTCTTTGCCATTTGACCTCTCAGACTGTTTAAATTGAGGTCTTTCTTTGGAGCCGTGTCATCTTGCTGGGCTTCATGATCTTGTATCAAAGCACTAGCAATGTCGGAGCACGCCCGCATGTACCGCTCGTTTTCTGGCGGTAGCTTCTCATTTTTGGATAGCTTGACCTTGGTTACCGCCGGAGCGGTCATAGTCTCTGTGGGCATGATGTCTTGTGGGGCTCGAGGCCGTGAAGTTGAGAATAAGTCGTGGTGACTTGATTTTCGCATGGTTTTATGCAGGGTTCAGATTGCGAGGGACCGCTAGCGCGCCGTTGGACCTTCACTGCGAGGGACCCCATCTTTCCTCACCTGATACACCTATTATCCTAGGTACCTGTTGGTCTTGCTATTCGCCATCTCGTAGCGATGCAGGTATTCAGCCGCCGTACGGCTGGCGCCTTGCAAGCTGCTGCCAGGAGGCAGAGTTACTCAACTGCAACTTCAGGATATGCCTCAACAGCAGAGAACCTTCGCATAAACAAAGATACCAAAGTCATCTTCCAAGGCTTCACTGGCAAGCAAGGAAGGTGTGTCATCGGGAATGTCAAATTGGCTCTAGTGTCTGCTAACAGTCGCACAGCTTCCACGCCCAGCAGGCGATCGATTACGGTATTGACTACATTTAAATATGGGACAGCACATGGGATTGACGGGGGGACAGGAACAAATGTCGTCGGTGGTACAAATCCAAAGAAAGCCGGAGAGACACATCTGGGAAAACCGGTGTTTGCCAAAGTCAGCGATGCTATCAAAGAGACAGGAGCAACTGCATCCGCGATCTTCGTCCCGTGAGGAACCTTTTTGGATTCTATCTATACTCTATGCAGCGATCATAAGACTGTGATAGTCACTGACAACACATCAGGCCGCCGTTGGCCGCCGCAGGTATCGAAGAAGCTATCGAAGCAGAGATGCCCCTTATTGTCTGCATTACTGAAGGAATTCCCCAACATGATATGGTCCGCATCACCGACATCCTGAAAACCCAAGGCAAAACCAGATTGGTAGGACCCAATTGTCCCGGTATAATAGCTCCGGGCCAATGCAAGATTGGGATCATGCCAGGCTTCATCCACAAACGAGGACGAATAGGTATTGTCTCACGGTCTGGTACTCTCACATATGAGGCCGTCAATCAGACAACACAGGCTGGCCTTGGTCAATCGCTTGTCGTTGGTATTGGAGGAGATCCTTTTTCAGGCACAAACTTCATCGACTGCCTCAAAGTGTTCTTGGAGGATGAGGAGACAGAGGGTATAATCATGATTGGCGAGATTGGCGGGTCTGCCGAGGAAGATGCTGCAGACTTCTTGAAAGCAAATAACACATCAAACAAGCCTGCTGTAAGTTTCATTGCAGGTATATCCGCACCACCGGGGAGGAGAATGGGTCACGCAGGTAAGTTGATTCTCTATCTCTAACCCTCATAATCCATACTTACCCTACTATCAGGTGCTATCGTGAGCGGAGGTAAAGGAGGCGCAGATTCGAAGATATCTGCATTGGAGGCTGCTGGGGTCATCGTTGAGCGCAGTCCAGCCGCTCTCGGCAAAACATTGCATGCTGAGTTTGTAAAGCGAGATCTAATTTGATTTTGGTGAGAAGAGCTTCCCCATTATTCCCTCCATTCGTCTCTCCTCGGCGTCCCTATCTATGTATCTAGCTAGCTGTTACGTCTTTCTCAAGCCTCCCATCCAGACACTGTACCGTCACGCCTTGCTCGGTATACTGCGTAGACCCCGTTTCAACCATTTTGTTAGGAAGATCGGTAAATTTAGATCAAGAGCAGTAAATGTCACGGAAGCAACATGCAGTTATGGATTCGCATCTCATTGCTGAGCACAAATGCAAAGTGCGGGCCTAGTGCAAGAACGTTTATCAAGGTTGGACCTGCATGAGCCTCCATCCACACCATCAATTAAGATGTTATCCGGGATCCTCATCTTCAACCAGAAAGGCGAGAATCTCATCTTCCGCGCCTTTCGAAATGATTGCCGTCCACGGCTCGCCGACGTCTTTCGCATCCAGGTTATCTCCAATGCACAAGTTCGCTCTCCGATCCTCACCCTCGGATCGACGACCTTCAGCCACGTCAAGCATGAGAACATATATCTGGTGGCGATAACCAAGAGCAATGCCAATGCGGCGCTGGTGTTCGAGTTCTTGTATCGACTGGTGGGGCTGGGGAGGGGCTACTTTGGGAAGTTCGATGAGGAAGCTGTGAAGAACAACTTCGTGCTGGTCTACGAGCTCTTGGATGGTGGGTGACTTCCACTGGAAGAAATAGTCTACAGAAGTAGGTGACTGATGTAGATTGCAGAGATCTTGGACTTCGGATATCCTCAAAATACGGAGACGGACACATTGAAGATGTATATAACTACGGAAGGTGTCAAGTCGGAACGAACGATGGAGGACTCGTCCAGAATCACAATGCAGGCTACGGGCGCCTTATCGTGGCGGCGATCAGATATAAGGTATCGAAAGAACGAAGCTTTCGTGGACGTCATAGAAGACGTGAATCTCTTGATGTCAGCTACAGGAACAGTCCTACGAGCGGATGTCAATGGCCAAATTGTCATGCGTGCCTATCTCTCGGGAACCCCCGAATGCAAGTTTGGGCTCAACGATCGGCTGCTGCTAGACGGCGACAGCCTCTCTGCGCCCTCAGGAAATACAGCAGGTACTAAAGCTACGAAAGCAGCCGCAGGCAGTGTGACGCTTGAAGACTGTCAATTCCATCAATGCGTCAAGCTGGGCAAATTCGATGCAGACCGTATCATCTCTTTCGTACCGCCAGACGGCGAGTTCGAGCTCATGCGGTATCGAGCTACAGAGAACGTCAACCTGCCCTTCAAGGTCCACGCCATCGTCAATGAGGTCGGCAAGTCGAAGGTCGAGTATAGCATTGCCATCAAAGCCAACTACGGTAGCAAGCTCTTCGCTACTAATGTTGTAGTCCGGGTACCGACACCGCTGAATGCTGCAAGGATTACGGAAAGGGTGTCCCAGGGCAAAGCTAAATATGAGCCAGAGCAAAACAACATTGTTTGGAAGATTCCAAGATTTTCAGGACAGAGCGAATACGTCCTTTCTGCAGAAGCGTCTTTGACTTCGATGACAAATCAGAAGACTTGGAGCAGGCCACCGTTGAGTTTGAGCTTTTCGCTTTTGATGTTCACGAGTTCGGGTTTATTGGTGCGGTATTTGAAGGTGTTTGAGAAGAGTAATTATGGGAGCGTGAAGTGGGTGCGGTATATGACAAGGGCTGGCAGCTACGAGATTAGGTACGTGCTAAGCTTGGACGCTGGCTATCATCTATGGGTATTTGAGCTAACATTTCTAAAGGTTCTAAGAGGCCACCAAGAGTATCAGCATTGGGAAATGTTGAGGCGTTGCATAGCGCGGTGTTGGTGGCCTAGTAATTGCGAGGCTGGGCCGTATGTGTACAGTCAGTCGCACAACAATACACGTAGCATAGACCTCGGGTCTGGGAGCGTGCAAAGGCACAAGTATCACCGAAAAGAAACTACGTGTATTTCTTCTTTTCACCTTGAAGAAAAGGATAAAAATGGAGGGACAAGGCGTCTCAGATAAAAAGCTCTTCAATTATCATTCGCTTCCTAACGCGATCGCTATGCTGCAGAGGACCATTTCTTCCTGATGATGCCTCACGATCGTCCGCAACATGTTTAATGCAAGAACACCCATGATCTGCTCGACTATGGCTTGACACGCTCCGGTCCTTTCCTCCACTTCGCCCTTTGGATACCCCGATCTCCTTCCATTGACGTTGCCTCCGAACAAATCCGTTCGTTCGGTGTAAGTGGATGAGATCGCTCGAGGTGTGTGTGGTCATGCCGGCGAGATGTTTAGGAGAGTCGTAGAGCGTAGATCGAGTAGGTGGTGTGTTTACTTGCTGTAGGGGAGACAGATGTTAGCACGTGCATCATCAATTGAAGCTGCAGTTGCAGCCACAAAGACAGCTAGAGGGGAGGGAGACCATACCTGCGAGCTCTCGTCTTTCTTCTCTTACGCTTGAGGCGTCGGACACGCTTCTTCCTCCACTTCGCTCTCATGGTCAACAACTAGGTGATCTGGCAAAAATCGTGACCGTTAGCAAGTGATCCAAGATGAACAACGACGGTGTCTGACTAAAGAATACCCATCGACGAAGCCAAAGGGTTAACCAAGCTTGGAAAGGACACTTACTCGTTGTTGAGATGAGGATTGATGGTGATGAAAGAAGAGGTTCGAGTGAAACTGGCATAATATGTGCGGGGACTTTGACGCTAACGGCTCGCGAAAATTCTTGGCGCCAAGCCCAGAGACAGTCCGAGGGTCAATGTTATAGCTTCGATTGCCTTGCTTGGACCTCAACATCGACGCGTCCTTGCTCTTCCCCATCGCCTTCTTTGTACACCGTTTTAAACCCATTTGCATGCTCACTGTACCCGCTTGCCCGCTTGCGGCTGGAGCTTGGAACCATGCCCTCGTTGGGGGCACCTGCTCTATTTGGGTACCTCGAGGAAGATGGGTGTGATGGCCTCGGTACGCGGACTGCTCATCAGAGCACGTCTCGTACTGACCTTAGTTTTGGATAGCCAGTGCAAGACATCAGATACTCGACGGGCAAGAGCTCTTGATAGGGAGGGACCACAAGAGCTGGTGAGATCAACCGATCCACCAAGCCATCGACTCCGCTAATTTCTTTAGCAATGTCATTCTGACGGATCCCACTGTCTCGAATCAGCATCTACAGATATATACCATCGCTTACAGCGAGGATAATCATCAACGCATCTTCGTCTACGCCAAAGATCTCTCCACCAATGGCACCTACTGGTGCTATGAGCATGGCAATCACTGGAAGGAATCTTTGATTGGGAGAGGCAGTGCAGTCTTACTGAGCAACGGGGACAAAGTCCGCCTGTGTAATGGTTCTTCCTTTGCCTTTCGATCTGTATGTCGAAATCCAGAGTGTTCGCAAGACGCCAGCACTGTCCAAGGGGAAGACGCAAAGGCAGGCCCTAAACTCTGCTGATGAGACTCGGGCTGATATGTAGCAGCTGTTTACGAATTTGTTCAGGATCACAGGTCAAAAAATGGGATCTGGAGCTTACGGAGAGGTCTGGATGGCTGTCGACATTGCGCGCAATCGTCAAATGGCTTGTAAGGTAATTAAGCTGCACAAATCACCTCATCAGTGGCCAGGAAGGGTCAGCTTTTCCGAATCCTGCTGGCGAGAAGTGGAGTTGCTCAAAGACATAAGCCATGTGAGGAAGGAAGTCCCATTGTTGACTCTCGCTCATGAGATGTTCAGCCAAACATCATACACGTCGAGCGTGTCTTCTTCACTAAGACAAATCTGTATGACAATGTCTTCAATATCAGTGTCCGAGCTGACATGTCTCCAGCTTTATCATTTCAGACCTTATCACTGGAGGAGACCTTATGTCTTACATTGAAAGGCCTCAGACCAACATGAACGATGCAGAGGCTTGTATGTATACTTTCTGAGCGAGTTCTTCTCCATTCCAGACCTCGTCTTGAGTTGCAAAACATGTTTTGGGAGCAAAGGGCTTTTGATGCCCCTTTCAGCTGTCTCATTGCTCGGGGACTTATCTTGCTTGGCGAAGCCATACTGACCCCGAAATCTTCACAGGTATCATTACTTATCAGATGCTAAAGGCTCTTGAATACCTCCATCGACAAGGGATCTGTCACAGAGATCTTAAGCCTGAAAACATTTTGATGAGCAAGCCGGCGCGGGGGGCTAGGGTGATTCTAGCAGACTTCGGGCATTCAACCAAGTTGAGCGGCAGCAAGCAAGTTCGCAGAAGAAGAATGAAAACCGCCTCCGTGGGTACAGACTATTATGTGGCTCCGTGCGTGTCTCTGACAAATCAGCAAATTGTATGCTGACTAGCTCATAGCGAGGTTCGTGGAAAGAACAAGAACACTGAAGGGTACACAATGGCTACAGACATGTGGTCCGTAGGCATCATAACTACACTACTACTCACTGGGGAGTCCGTCTTCGAAAATTCCAAGAGTGACGCCTCATCGGCGGCCGTTCTGGACGCTGCAGCAGAATGCGATCTAGCGAAAATGGACTACAACTCACTTTGGCAGACTGTCAACGATCTAGGGAAAGGTTTTGTCAAGAGTCTCCTAATCTTGGATGAAAAAGCGCGACTCGAAGTAGAACAAGCCTTGAAGCATGGGTGGTTCACGAACGTAAAGCGTCAGAGAACCATACAGCAAGAGTATAAAGACGCGATCCGAGGATGGATGCCGAGTAGACCCTTGCTGGACTATAAAGAAGACCTGGCTTTGTTCAGAGAAGCTAGCCAACCTAAACTAGATGTGCGTTCTCCCACTGCATGATCTCCTCAGTACTGACAATCTGCCAGTCGATCTTAATGCCTCCGCCGGCCAAGCCAAATTCGAATAGAAATCTACAACGATCGTTGCATCAATCGGAAGATGGGCATCAGTCGAGTCCGTTTTTCTCGCGAGCAATTCAGGATGGTGCTATGAAAATCGTGGCTCAGGCTGGCAAGAAACGAGAAATAGAGTCCGAGGACGAGACAAGTACGCCTTCAATCTTTCCAAAGCCAGCCGTTCCAGCAAACAAGCGACCAAACAAGAACGGTAGAGAAAAGTATAACGTCCGATCCGAGACTAAGAAGCCAGCGAAGAGCTCTGCAAAGCAAGCTGTTGGAGGGGAACACGAGACCTTGTTTCAATTCGAATCCAGTCAGAGAATACAACGACCGAGCTTAGATCTAGACTACGAAGAGTATAGATTGCATGACAAGGTAAGCCGTGAGGAGGCAAGCATCTTTAGATCTGCCAAAAGTTACGGGCAATCCGTTGAGAAGAGGAGGAGACTTGGGAACTGACGCCCGCCTCGGCATGGGTCCGAGCATTTCCTCTTAGCTTGCCTAGGGGCTCCTTGAGCGCCTACCTCAGGCACCTTTCATTTTGATTTCTTTGCCGCCCAAATCATGTCTTATCCTCGACATGGCTTTTCACATTTTCTACCTTGAATTCATCACCTGACATTCTACCTGCCCCATATCAATTGGCATTGACAGGACCTAGACTCTCTTCTTCCAGCTGGCTTTGTCGCATTGGCCGTCTTGGCAAATGCGATCTACCACCTCCAAGCCACACCCGTGCGTTCTCGGTCTTCTCAAAAAGGCCATTGTACATAGACCACAGTGGCTTATTGTGACAGTACCCTTTCATTTGGTGTACGACCACTGTACCTGACTAAATTCTAGGGAGAAGGTAAACGAAATATGGGCGCTTAGCGGCATGAAAAAGATCCATACGGGTACTTTACAGCCAAAATAGGCGCCAGAATACCTGCCTTCATCAAATCTAGACCAATGATTTCTTTCCTCCATGATTCAGGACCTCCATCTGGATTGGAACCCTCGGTGACTCTGCATGATCAAATCAAAGCCAAGTCAATCTTCTGCATGTGAAACGAAAATGTGTCACGCTTCTGTATTTCGCTTAAAGCATGTCTTTGTCCTGTCTTCTCTTGATATGAGCCACTTCTCTCACTGACCGTTTCTCTTCTCTGTTGCTCTGTACAATCGTTTGCCTTCTCATCTCGAGTAGATCTCGAATCGTCTCGCTTTTTGCGAAGACTTACATTCATTACCATTTGTCTGCTGTCCCTCTTTCCAGCAATCAAGATCCAACACATTCATTTCGAAACTCGGTATTCATTCTTTTCCAAACCCCCAATCAACCATGTTTGTCAACAAGTCGTCACTTCTTTTGCTATCCCTTGGTTCCTGGACTGGCCTCTCGCATGCGTTTTGGCGCATGAGCTGCTCAATAATCCAGACCGGTCGTATTGATCCAATTATCAGCCCTGGCACGGTCTCTAGCCATGTTCACAAGATTTCTGGCGCCTCAAGTAAGTGCCCCCCCCACTGTGGAAGTGGCCATTCTCCGAACCAGCTGACACGATAATAGACATCGGACCGAGTTCCACCTATGACTCTCTGCAGTCATCCGGCTGCACATCCTGTGAGATCAAGAAGGACTTGTCCGCCTATTGGACTCCACTCCTGTACTACGAGCACGCCAATGGCTCTTTCGAAGAAGTCCCCAACGGAGGAATGGCTGTTTACTACCTTGGCCGTGGCGACAACAAGACCAATATCCAACCCTTCCCTCCAGGCTTCCGAATGCTTTCTGGCGACGCTGCCGCTCGTTCCTTCAACGATACGCCGGTCAGCTCGGTTGAAGGTGCCGAACCATACGGTAACCGCGTCAGCTTCAATTGCTTGACAGACTCACCAAATCCCCAATCGCCACAAATGAACATGACTGACTGCGACAATGGTCTCCGTGCTCAAATACAGTTCCAGTCTTGCTGGGACGGCGTCAATAAGTACTTGCCAGACAGCAGCCACGTAGCCTACATGTCTACCATCGACAATGGCGCCTGCCCTCCAGGGTATCCAGTTCAGCTTATGCATCTGTTCTATGAGGTCCTGTACAGCGTTAGCGAGATCGCACTTGATGGTGGGAAGTTCGTCTTTGCACAGGGTGACCCTACTGGTATGCTCCTCTTCCCCTGGCTCCCATGACCAATCACTGACATTAGTCCAGGCTACGGATTTCACGGCGACTTCCTGAATGGCTGGGATGTTGATACTCTTCAAGCCGGTATCGAGCAGTGCGCAGTCGCCAACGAGGCCGGTGTCGTCCATGAATGCCCAGTCTTCGCTGCCATTGATGACCAAAACTTCTCCACCGACTGCCCCGCCCGTCTACCTGAAATTGACGAGCCCGTTCACGGCGTGATCGACAAGCTACCCGGCTGCATCACCATAACGCCTGGCCCAGAGGAGGCTACGTTGGCTGACTTTGTCTGCCCAGCTAACGTTCCAGAACCAACACTCTTGAACGTAAGTTCTGGATCTGGCCCAGCTGTTGGATCGACTGTCGACGGGTGGACATACATGGGCTGCGCAAATGAGCCTACTGGGGTGCGCGCTCTAGGTGACGCGACGTACACGAGCAACACCATGACCAACGAAGCCTGCCAGAGCTTCTGCGCCGGCAAGGGTTCTCCGATGGCCGGGACAGAGTATGGAACGCAGTGTTACTGCGGTTCTGCTCTCGCTCCGGGGTCCAGTCTCAATCAGACTTGCAGCAACATGCCCTGCGGCGGTAGCGATATGGAGTACTGCGGAGGACCTGACCGTCTCTCTGTATATCATAAGGCCTAGCGGAAGAAAGGCTGATTCTCGGGGATAGGCTTGGTGGTACCCACTAGATGGATGATGGACGGACTTACTCTCGACTTATGATGCCAGTGGCAGTCGTTACTTTCTCATGCACGATGTAGATGGATAGAATTACGTTGAAACATGAATCAATTACTACGTTGCAAACTGGTCGCCTGGAACATTGGTTGAAGTGAAATGTTGGAGAGTCGATGCGTGCTAAGGACTAGGAATGAATAGGTCCATGGAAGAAGAAGGGTGAAGACGTTGACAGCTGATGTAAGGTATGGCCACTATGGCGTCAAGTAGTGGGTTCTAATACTGAGGCAAACGCGAAATTTTGGATCTAGGTAGGTATCTCAGGACTCAAGATGGAGAAGAGCAGAGACTTCATCGAAAGCACGCGGATTACCGTTTGGGCCTAGGGCCACCAATTTAGGTAGGTACCTTACTTTGACAGGTAACGCCATGCTTAGCGCTTGTGCACGGTGCCGTCCCCTTGCATCTGCATCTATATCTGCACATTCATCTTATTCCTCCTATCTCGAGCCAATAGAGACGACATCTCATCCACCGATTTCTTCTGAAAAAGAACATCTGGCCCACAAAGACCCCCAATCATAGCCCTTCTTTCCGTCCAAAAGTAGCTTCTGCCGAAATTGCATCGTATTTCAGACCCCAAATTCCCAGCGGTAAGTAGGCACATACTGATTACTGAACCGAGCTTCTCCTATCAACGCCCGCTGCAACCGAGGGTGCATACAGCTACCTGCCCGTGCCTTCCACGCACAGAAAGGCTGCCCATATGGAGAGTGTGTATGTTTGTCGTTGTAGCCTTTCGCTGTAACCAAAATATCCCGTCCTTGCTTACTTGTGAATCGTGATCTTCTTCAAAAATGCATTCAAGAGACGGCCTCTGCCGGCTCGAGATCATGCGTGTAATTAACATTATTCCTTACTTTCTTCAATCAAAATGTTGCCTCCTTCCACGCCTATTGATTACTTCCTTTACATCTCCCTCCTCATCTCTACCACATTTGCCCAGGGCCGAATCGCTCAATTTCTCGTCTTGGACTGCACCGAAAAGAGCGCTGTAAATCCTACTGTCTCGCTTCCACTCGATACCTGCCTCGTCACTACCGGTGCTTTCGGAGTCGTCGTCGAGCGCCTTCCCGCATGCCCTCCCGGCAGTGCCAATGCCACACTACAGCTGTACCAAGACCAGTCATGCGCCATACCTGAGACATCGAGTGACTTCGACACCAACGGTTGCTTCGATTACGGGCTTGTGGGTATCCCTGCTGTCATGTTCATATGCGGCAGTGTCGCAGATGGGGATTCGGATGCTACATCTACGACTACGTGAGTCGCGAGACAATGTTGGAGTAACAATGCTATCCAAATTACCACCCTTTCTACTCCCCAAACATGTCTTGTTACTCAAATATCTGTCAATGGGTGGGAATGCTGACTCCGAAAGGTGCTAGTGTACGTACATTTCGAACTTATTCTTCCCAATGTTGAACCAAAACCTGAGTCGCAAGACATTGCTCGGGACCCAAACCCTTCTTCTATCCTGGATACCTGTGTCGTAAATCAGGAATCTTGCCTCGAGGGAGCAATGCTGACTCCGAAACGTGCGTAGGTGACCGCTGGCTCTGCGCTCGTGCCTGTCGCTGGGGCGACTGGGGCGACTGGGGCGACTACAACTTCGACTCCGGGTGGCCTCTCTTCGCAGTCTACGACTGATTCGAATGCGCTTCTTACCTCTGCTACGTCGGCGTCTTCGGCATCGAGTCCCTCACAGACTAACGCAAGTGGCACCGGCGGAAACTCGAGCTCGGGACTCTCCCAGCATGACCAGATTATACTCGGTATCGCCCTCCCTGTTGGTTCGATCATAGTTGCGCTGCTGGCGTGGCAATGCCCGAAGCCGTGGAGTAGGGGATCGGGTTAGGGACAGCAGAATAGTTACCGGATGCGTCACTACCCTGTGGTGCATCCTTTGCCATATTGGCATCGAGCATGCTACGTCTGGTTTTTGCTGTGACCAATAGTCGCCCAGTGAAGTTGTTTATTCAGGGTATCAGGCCCAAGGAAGTCACCAATCTTGACCTGAGTTTGGTACGAGGAACGAGAATGCCTTGGACGGGAGTTGTTTCGCTCTGACGATGTTACATGTACTTGCAAGCGAATGGGTGGGTTCCATGTCTCGATAATATTAATGGTTTCGAGTCAATTTTTCAAATGTATTACCATAAGGCCTTGTGTTCTCCTCCAGCCACAACATCTTTTTATTTAGCTTACAGGTTCTCCAAACTATCCAGTTCTGCTCAATTTCCCCAGCATTGCTTCTCATTCGCAATGAACAAGGATTCGGAGTCTCAGCCTACCCTGTAAATTTCTATCACCCTAAAGGGTGAACAAAGGCCCTTGTTGCCCACCATCTCCAAACCCAAATCAGCCGATGATCGAAAAGGCCTCGAACAAAGACATTTCATCACATGGTGCAGTAGGACAATACCACTCTCCCTCCCAACCCTTCCCCAAGCCTGCCATTCCCGTTCATCCTAATTCACAACAACATCTAAAGTCCCTTCCTTCCTTCCCCCCTCTTCTCGCAATATGTCACATCGAATCCCACCCCACCCCACCCCGCAACCCGCACCCGTCTCCGACGCACCCGCCCGCATCATCGACGCCTGCCCCGCCGCCATTCCATCCTCCAACCTCGACTCCTGCTGCCGCACCGCCCTTCGCCAATCCGAGACCGTCGTCAAAAACAACCCTTACCGCCGGCGAAGAGCCGTATTGGCGTCGCGGCGGGGGCGCTGATGCATCGAGCGGTGGGGGTGCGGTGTGAGCGGTTGGGAACTAGGATCAGAGAGGAGGGGTTGGGGTTGGGGTGGCGGGGGTTGGAGCTGGTGCAGGCGTTGGATGCGCTGAGGATGAGGAGTGTAGGAGTTTGTGTGGGGTTTGAGATGGAGATGAGTAGGCGCGGGGGCGCTTGGGGGTTGGTGGCATTGTTCGAGCTTTGTTGGGTATTTTTACGCTCAAGACGTGTCACGTATGACCTGTTCATTCTTCTATGTCTTTTTCGAGTTCGTGGCCGGCTCTTTTGTTATCGCCGGGCTACTGTGGAGATTCTGCGACATGAAGAAAGGGAGAGAGTTTTGAAAACGCTAAATTCGCAGTCATCTACAGGCGAATCGCCTGGAAAGGTTGCACCTGGGACATCGATATTCTGGCTGTTATGTCGAATCCTTTGGCCATGACACGTCTGATATGCTGGCTGCCTGTGGGCATAGCCTCTCGAGCATATAACCTACGGTTCTTTGCAGACCACAATTTTACATTGTTATAAATGCTTCATACTCGAGATGTCATGAAAGGGACGTCCGGCTTCATATCGGCTGACTTCAGAATCAATAAGCCAGCTGCAAGTACCGAATCGAAGGAACCGGAAGGAGCGCAACAACACGTGGGTCTGACGAGATAAAGATCAGGTAATGAAGATTATCTTTAATACACATAGTTGTAGATCCTTGCTCGATTGATCTAGCTGCATTGCATGTACCGCCGATTTGATCGGGTGCTGATAAGTATTTCGAGATATTCCTGTTTCTGTTCCTGTTCATCAGCTTTCAAGGCTTCATGGAGCTCTGCCAACGCCAGGACCCATGTCTTAATCGTTGGGAAACGGCCCACCAAGAAGCACTTGTGTCGTTCGCCTTCGGCATGTGGCTCTTGCTGATAGCCACTCAGGCTGCACGGACGGCCCAGTTTGCAGAGGGGCTACAATCGTTGCAGGATGTTCAGAGGTTCCGGATGCGTCACCATTGCCCATGGGCTCTCTCACTGTGAGTGTTGCTTCTGTTTTTGGTTGAAATGAGCCGGCGTCAATGCTTTGATGGCATGAATCATGTGGACCAAGTACAATGGTGGATTGAGACCGCTGGGCGGCAAGACAACGGATACACCAAGGGAAGATGATTCTTATAACAACAATGCTCAGAGTCCAAACCATGGGAGTCAATACGGTCTTCTGTGCGCTGTAGCGATCGTACAAAGCGATTAGCAAACACGAAAGTAAATGAGGTAAACCAAATCTTCGAGGGGCTTTTTTTCTGCGTCAAGAGCTGCCCTGCCACCTAAAATGGCTGCACTACCGCCTGAACGCTCCCTAGAGTGACCAGCAATTACTGGTCATGAATATATAATCGTTATTGTCCTTACAATGATGCTTTTACGGGCGTGTGCATCTCCGCCAGTCTCCGTTCGCTTCCTTCGACCCCTTTCCTCCAACTGTCGTACCTGGCACTGGAGAACGTCTTAATACCTTGTGGTCCGTGAGCAGCTATATGCTCGGCCAGATCAACGCCATCCTTTATAGCATTATTGCCACCCTCTCCACCAAGCAATGGCATAGCGTGGACGGCATCACCCACCAACAGTACACCCTGATCTGTAAGGTCCTTGATCTCTTGCTCCGTGCCCAATGTACTGCGCATCAAAAAATGTAGTATCCTATCCTGCCTGACCTTGGTAACATCGAACATCTCTTTGTAGGCTTGCCCCAGGTCCTTTAGCTCCTGCAACTCTGCGTAGAACTCTTCAGGAATGTCTGTTGCTCCGGGGATCGGCCTATCCGGTCTATGTAAGGGATCATTCTGGCGTGCAGGGCGCGAGTACGTGTAGTCTACATCGACATACGTTGCAGTGTATTGATTCGCGGCGATCTGAAAAACCACGTCTTCTTGGCGACACTGGATAATGCTCAAGCCTTGCATCTGCGGTGCCATTGTATTCTGGAAGCTGTCAAGCGACATCTTTCTCTTGCCATTAAATACGACAAAAGGTAAGACTTTGAGCTGTATACCCGGAGCCAAAGATTTGCGGACTTGAGAATGGACGCCATCGGTGCCGATCAGGACGTCGCTTTCGATGGCCTGCTCGTTCTGTATCCGTACGATAACTTTTTGTGGGGTTGTCTCGATGTCTTTGATGGTATGCTCCCATCTGATGTCTTGATCTTCCCGAAGAAACTGCTCCAGCCTTCCACGGTGACAGCGAAATGTACCAGGGATGGTATCCACGCCTGTCACTAGCGCATCTCCTGAGATGCTACCCATGCCTGATGAAATTGATGACGGCTTATTGTTTTTCTATGGATGAGTATTGCTACTTATAGTCCTTGCCAAGCATAAGAGGGCTGAGATGCTGAATTCCAACACTCCCCCTGCAGCGAAGGCCTACTTATATTTGCTCCCCCCTGGGACTGTAGCTGTAGCTCCATATGAATCAACTGCCTGTATCCTGCTTTGAAGCCTCCTTAAACCCGTAAACCTCACTCATGTAGGGAAATCGGGAAGAGTGCTTTGGATGTGAGTGTGTGCCTACCGTAGTAGGGCTTTCCGAGACGACTTGCTGTAGGGTATCGAGTGACTAATTCGACTTCGAAATGTACGGGCTTCTGGCACTGGCATCGGGCACGGGCATCGTTGGCTCTGGCACTGGCATCTGACACTGGCATCTGACACTGGCATCTGACATCTTTCTAAACTGTCGAGTCCTCCCCTAGAGCCTTGTCGAATGCCTTCGTAGAGGGCTTTGTGGGCGTGTTGTAGGGTCCTCCCCTAACTATCTTGTCTGGTGCGCTTCCGTCTTTTCTCCCCTGTATCCTGGCCCTTTAAGCCCCTCAATCTTCTGCCTTTAACAGTGTTGTGGTCGATATCGTATCGTAGGATATGCGTAGAGGTGTGGAAATGCGCTGAGAAGCCGTAGAGGTATGAGTAGCAACTTGTTTTAACGCAGCGGACGTCGACCGGGACCTCTACTCTGTGGCTGAATTGATACGACGTAAGAATACCTTTAGTAATCCCTTACGAAGGAAGCCGTCGTGGCGACGATTTTCATCAAACCGGGCTCATAACCTGATGAAATTGATGACGGCTTATTGTTTTTCTATGGATGAGTAATTGAGTATTGCTACTTATAGTCCTTGCCAAGCATAACAGGGCTGAGATGCTGAATTCCAACAATGCCACCTCTTAGATGCATCGATAGACAGCCGCTCGCGGAAGCTGGATTCGTCCATTTGTGGAACGTTGAGTAAAGGTTGGTACGCCCAGGGGTGGAGTGTGATGCCATAATTGTATCGCGGCGATGAGGAGGCCCTCTCCAAGAGTATGCTAGGGATGCCTTTTTGTTTGAGACATCTTCCCAAGGTCAAGCCGGCCAGGCCAGCGCCCGCAATGGTTGTTGGAGGCTTTGACATGGCCGCAATGTTTCGATAGACATTTTAAGAGTAGCATGACGGCCTTCGGGGTATAAATGAGTGGTATATGCGTAGATCATCTGCAGTATCAGTTAATGGCTGGTTGGCTGGGGAGGTGGGGTGCGTGGGGGGCTTTGGGAAGTCCGTCTACTCACTCGTACTCGTGCTGTCCAGAAGTGAGTTATCTCGCTTAATAGCGCCGGGAGAGTTGACCAATCAAACTACTCAGTTCTCCACGAAAATCGTAGTTTGATTGGTCAATTCTCCCGGCGCTATTAAGCGAGATAACTCACTTCTGGACAGTACGAGTACACTTAGGGGACCACGAAAAGATTCAACTCGCGACGACACCACAACGAAAAAAGCTACAAAAAATTCTGTCATCGCGGAGTCGTAGTTGTTCTGAAGCACTACAAGTCTTACACTGACAGTATGCTCGTAAATGTGGTTGTTGAGATCGTAGAGCAGCACAAAACCTCGGAAGATCTTCGGCTGTCCGGATATTAAAAACCGTTTTGAGTACCTCGGCGCGATATGTAGAAGATGTTGGCAATTGGTCCTACTAAGGGCAATAAGATTCATAGGCTATACCTAACATCATCGTACAGAGTACACACCATTGTGCCATGTTGCATGGTAATTCTGAAGAGTACTACTTGACTACAGCGTACGGGGTACACACCGTTAAGATTGCAACCGTCTTGCATGATCTGCCCGCTTTATCCGTTCTACCACCCACTGGTTGTCGACTGGCAAGATCTCTGCTCGTGTAGGCTGCAATCATCCGCAATCTGCATCCATGTCACATCCATGCTTGACCACGTCCAATCGATATCTCCCTTTTTTATGGAAACATTCGATGGCGGCTACCAAGTAGAGTACCAAGCATGCCGTCTCCTTCGTGCCTCAATAAATTGTTCGCCGGAAAGCGACTCTGCAGGTTCGTGATGCTTGTCGGCCCTGCAGAAATGTGGCACCCAACGATTATTTTAAGGGTGTGCTCCAAATCCTCTCAACCTGGTCACCCAAATGCTGGATGTACTGTATTCTATATCTATCACCATTTGCTTCTTTCTCCGAAATTAGCTATCTTTTCAACGTGACCTTACCTCGTTCTTGACTTTCATGGAGGGTTTTGCTGTCGCCTCAAGCGCCGCTGGACTTGTGAGTCTCGGTTTGACGATGTGTCAGGAACTCTTGAAGTTCTATGCATCGTGGAAAGGAGCGGAAGACGATGTAAAAAGAATGTATAGTTCTGTTGAAATGTTGACCAAGAATTTCATATGTCTTAGGAGTTCGATTCAGCAAACTCGGTTCGGCCGGGATGTCGTGGCAAGGGTGGAGGAGAGCATTGCGATGTGTGAGAGTGGTGTCGTTGCTTTGAAAAAAAAGCTTTCAAAGATCAACAGTGTCTTGCATGCCAACCGTGGATGGAGTCATAAGTTGAAGAGCCAATTTCAGCGAGCGCTGTACCCTTTCAAAGAGAGTACTATCGTCAAGCTGAAAGAGATCTGCAGCGACCTGCAAGGCAATTTGACCCTCGCTCTGGAGACGCTACAGATGTAAGTCACCGGAACATCCGGCCCTAGCTTTGTTCTCTTCCAGTGTCACAGAGATGCACACTTGCTGACAGTCTATTGCAAACAGTGACGCAACCTCCGTATCATTGCAGACCTTGGGTGTACTTCAGAACAATGTCTTTGAAATGTCCCTAGATATCAAAAGCTTCGACAGCCAGCTCGCAAAGGCTTCAGCCTGGGTTGGCGAGCTACATGTGTTTCAAAAAGGCAAGATACATCTTTAACGACTTCTTACACTTGACTGCCCACTTACTCTCTGTAACTCGATTCAGATCAGTATATGTCGGCCATCTACGACTGGCTTTCGCCTCTTTCGAGAGAGTTCAGTAGCAAACAGCATGATACTTTCAACATCACAGCACGGCAAGACAGGTTGAGCGACTGGGTGTTACAGACAAACCATTACCAACAATGGCTACATGGGGCGGGGACCACATTATGGTGTTTGGGTATACGTATGTTCCTCCCAAACTATGACACTTCGCTTTTTCAAATCACCGTCCGAACTGCTAGCAGCGCGGGGAACGTTCTGTGGGAATGGGTCGTCTCCATTGGACGCAGACTTGCATTGAGCACCTAGTCCGTCCACAAGCGATGTGCTGAGTTCTTGAAGGCTGATGAGACTCTTAAAATAAATGGAGGATCGTGATTGCGTTGTCTCTTAGAGGGATTGCATTCGCTGACTCAGATCCTAGGTGGCGCCGGGAAAACGGTGCTTGCGTACGTGCTCTGCTCCGTGCTGCAGATCGAATGGACTGGAATGCTGATGCGAAATATCTTTCAACAGGTCTTTCATTGTGAACGCCCTTCAAGTGGTCAGTAACGAACACGTTGGTGTTGCCTATATATACTGCAATTACAGCGAAGCCGAGAAACAGAACCCTACGAATTTGCTGAAGAGCATACTCCTGCAGCTGGTCTCTCGCAAACGCGTAGTTATGGAAGAATTGACGGAAGCCTACAAGAAACATTCGAAGGAGGGGACGGCACCATCTCTACCCGAATGCTGCCGCCTTCTTCACGCTGCCATTGGTTGTTTTTCAAAGACCTACCTGGTCATTGATGCCTTAGATGAATGCGCTGAAGACGCTAGGGATATATTGTTTGCGGAGCTCCGGAAAACGAAGCCTCTGATCAGTATCCTTATCACCTCACGGCATACTTTCAGCGACCATTTTGACTCAGAAAGTGCATTACGCCTAGAAATCGAAGCCAATGTATTTGATATCAGACAGTACCTCGAAGAACGCATAATAGAATCAAGGGTACTGCAAGCGCACATAAAGAAAGACAAGAATCTCCATGAGCTCATCATATCTGGCATTGTCAACAAAGCTAAAGGAATGTAAGTAGTTCTGATTAATCATAGTCTAAAATTTGGTATTGCGCTGACATTGAACTAAGGTTTCTACTTGCCCGCCTGCATTTGGATTCTCTGATGGCCAAGACTACACTGCGCAAAGTGAAGACCGCCTTAGACTCCTTGCCCGAAGAATTGGACAGAACATATTACCAGGTATTGCAAAGGATACAGGCCCAAGATAGAGATCATGCTGTGCTGGCTCTAAAGGTTCTTGGCTGGATACATCACGCTGTGAGGCCGTTAGGCACTCGGGAGTTGCAACATGCATTGGCCGTGGAGCCTGGGGATGCTCAATTCGACGAAGATGGTATACCTGAGATCAGCCTAGTCTTGTCTGTGTGCGCTGGCATTGTGACGATTCGGCAGAACAACATCATGGGACTGGTTCATTATACCGCTCAAGAGTACTTTGAACGCCGATCGCTAGATTTCTTCCCAGATGCGCAGACGGAGATTGCAAAGATATGTCTCACCTACCTCTCATTCAACGAGTTCGCACAGGGACCATCACCTGATGATAAAGCCTTTGACGACCGAATGGAGGTTTGTCCTCTACTACAGTACGCGTCCCAGTACTGGGTTCGTCACGCGCGCGATAATCCAGAAGCAGGAATCAAAGCATTGGCCTTGGCATTCCTCAAGCAAGAATCCAATGTAGCGTCGTCCATGCAGGCATCAGAAGCATTCAAATCTCGATTTACAATGCATAGCCAGCAATTCAGACGCAACGTTCGAGGTTTGTGGGTTACTGCATCAAATGGTCTTTACGATTTAACCGTTACATTGTTGGAAGATGCTGCATCGATCGAGCCAGAAGACTTTGAGGGCGAAAGGCCGTTGCACCGGGCAGCTATTAATGGACACGACGACATAACACTACTGTTGGTCGAGCATCAGGCAAACATCCACGCGAAAAGTAATTCGGGAGCCACAGCCTTGCAATGCGCAGCCTCTCACGGGCACCAGCAAATAGTACGACTACTTATTGACAAAGGAGCTGACGTTGGGACTTGTGACAAAAAGGGCTGGACAGCGCTACATTTGGCCGCCTCTAACGGTCACAGAGATATATTGAGACTGCTTTCAGATCATGGAGCCGACATCCAATTAAAAGATGGATATGGAGCCACCGCCTTGTACCGTGCAGCTGAGAACGGACATCACGAATGCACACAACTACTCGTCGAGTGGGGTACTCAATTAGACGCCAAGGACACTTATGACCAAACTGCTTTGCACCGAGCTGCCGAACTCGGATACCTTTCCGTGGCTGAGATACTGTTGGAGCGTGGAGCCGACTGTACAATCAAGGACTACTACGGATGGACGCCAAGGTATCGCGCTCTTGATATGGGCCATGATGATGTGGCTCGCTTGATACTGAAATTCTCTACTCCGCTTGCACAGTCGACCTTGTACGATAGTGAACAAAGCAAGAGGGCATAGCGTTCTTCGAGAGCAGCGTCGATTTCTACGCTGTATTGATCTCGAGAATTCTGTTCTCACGGGCGAGCAGCTGTCGAGGTGACCGGGCATGGAATTTGGGTTGGGTCCCTGAAATGTGCGTACTTGATTTGAAAGTGGTTTGAGATCTGCTTGGACTCAGATGTCTGAGAATCTACGTTCAGAGTTCGTTTCATAAGGCCTTGGCACCTCCCACAATTGACCGGGGTTTCGATCTGAAGTGGAACGTTTGCTCAGTGAAACCTACCAGGCTGTCACCTGCGAGACTGTCAGGAAGCTCTGCTTGCTCTGAGAGAAGGACCGGGGCAGCCCCTATCCGCAGCTTCCATGCAAATCTCCTCACATCTTGGCAAGCGCTGGAGACAGTCAGAGTACCTCGAATGACGATAATGCCAATATTTTTGTGCCCTATGAATGCTATCTCTGCTGAGAACCAACGATCGTTATCCTCGCTCTATCAACAGCTGTCCACCGCGACGAGATCTCCGAGAAGCCTCTTTCCAACGTCGTCTTCGCGTTTGGCTCCCCGAACCATGTCAACGAAAAAATTCAGTATTTTGCTGCCAGAGATGCGGGTACGAGCACTGAGCGTTGAGACTTAGGGATTGACGACAAATAGCGCCACAGTCAAGAGTGTAATCAGGATCAGTGCTCCTCGGCATGCCTCTTGTCAAATCTCCCGTCGACATCGCTGTTCGAATCATTATTACCAGGCACCATATGACCATGTTCATCACCTGAGCGCCCTCTAGCCACTGTTGTCTCTGACGACAACTGCGGCATTTGCAGCTCCGTTACGGCCTGGGTTGGAAGCTGCGCCATGGGGGTTCTTTCCTCCTGAATCATTGCTGCAGTGCTTGTTGCTTGGGGCTTCGTGGCTTCTATCCTCATTATTCCCATATTCATTGCCATCATCCTCGCCACTGTAAGACCTCATCGCTACTAGTTGAAGCGCGGCGAATACTTTCGATGTCATCCTCTTCAGCCTCATCATCGTTGCTGTGGTGCCCACCACTCCCACTGTCTTCGCGCGGCTTTCATCGCTCTCGTTCTCTTCAATATCACTGTCGCGATCTGATTCAGTGTTTCTCTCCTGTTCGGATTCCTCCTCCTCGTCGGACATCTTATCTGTTGTTCAAAGACTCCAGTGCTGTCTATAACCTTGAGGGTACGATAGTTATCCCTCTCGATGTCGCGGCAACGGTGTCCTCGAAGTGATTTGAGTGGAAGCCAGATCTTTTTCAGGAGCCGTTCATATGGCCAGCCCAGCTGGGGCAACGCCACCAAAGAGTATAATGTCCTTAGCTGGTAAGCACGGCAGCCACACACGCCAAGTACCCTCGGGCAGATACAAACGAAGGTCTGGAGCAGCTACAATCATAGAGACCCTTGCGTGTTCACTGAGTTGCACTTGGTGGTTCATCTGGACGACGTATGGCGGCAGCGGTGCACCTTCGGGAATGTAGTTGAACGCGACGTTCTGTGGTATTGTTTCGACTATCAGGTAAGCGCGGTCGTGATTATTCCAATCGATAAGTACTAGGATATTACTATTGTAGAGCACAGTTTTTCCTTCTTGACCAATGAGCCGATTATAGCGGAGGATCGCGGTATGAAAAACATATGTGTATTGATGCTGAGGATCCCAGTGAGGTACGATGTCTGAGGACTTTGCATGTCTCCGCCGGCGGGAATAGTATTCTGTAGATCATGTTGCGTATTTCAGGTGGGCAAGACTCGAAACGAGCGGTTGCTTTCCTTGACGTAGCCATTTTGGTGGTAGAGTGGATTTCTTTCTCGCTCAGCAAGTCTAGTGAACATGACTGGCCGTACAGATCTTGCTGCTTCGCTGAGGGCATATTGATCCAAGAATCTGATGGTAGTGAGGCAGTCTGATCAGAAAGGATGAGCGTCTTGGGCACTGGGGAGTCGAGGCTGTCATGCCACGAGAAATGGCTCCCAGATGTGTGAGAGAACTGCAAGCAAGGTAATCGTCATGGCGGAACAGGGATTTGTGATCATCGAAGAGTCGTTGTAGTTGTAAGTGAACGCGGCTTGTTCTGGCGGCAGATGTATTTCATGAGTCCGACCGCGTACCAGTAGCTGTCAGGGCTTCCATATCTGCGTTGCTCTTACCTGTCACCACGTACAATCTTGAGAGCGCGATGTTCCGCTTTCGTAACTCATCGACAAGCACAGCGTATAAATATTTTGATGCGATTGAGCCCTATAGATCTTTTCATTCACGGGCCTTAACATTCCATTTCAAGTATCTGACGGCAACAAGATCCGATACTGCAATGCTTTATTCAATGACTTACGGCTTGTGGCCTTCCGCAGCTGGAGCACACCATTGTAGGATTCTTTTGTTCTGTTCCTTTGTTGATGGTGCGACGCATCGTCTCATGTATTCATTCATGAAAGATAATGTCCATTGTCTTCACTTCCTTTGTCAATAAGTCCCCATTGATACATTGTCTCATTGTCTGGTATCCTTCACATTTCTATACTTCTTTTCCAAGATCATGTTACTCCCCCTTCTTCTATCAGCAACCGACAGAGGCCTTCCACTCGACTGTCTACCTTCAAATATTATGTATACTTCACCAGACCTCTATCCCAGTGTTTTCAGCCCGAGGCCATACAACAGATCGCAGAGGACAATGTTCTCTCTTGGATGTTCCTGTGGTCGCCCGGAGTGCCAGACTCCACTTTCTCAACCGCGAAAAGACTGCTTCTCCTATGTCGTCTCTATCGATGGTCTTCATGTCTGTCATCCACAGAATATCATTGAATATCAGAGTACCGGAGAAAACGAAGCCGAAAGCGGTACACAGAAACCCGTCGAGTATGAGAGTACCGAAGCGGCAGCCCCTGAACGCGAATGCCCCTGCTTGCTGCTTCGAAGACGCGGTAGATCGATCTCAGGAATGCGTCTTGCGCTTTCGACTCCGACCCAGTCCACATTGGTAGATCTCTCAGTTCATACAGCAGTTGAAAGCAACGTCGACGACCATTCTGATTCCAAAGGCGGCGACTATGAACTCATCAAGCAAATCGGCAAAGACGGCGAAGGCGTCATTCACCTCATGAGAAGCAGAAGTGCACGCCAACTCATTGTCCGCAAAACAGTCAAATATGCTAGGTCAGCCTACGGCAAACCAATAGAGGCTGCCATACTCCAGGACATCTTGGCAGAACGCCACGACAACATCATTCGTCTCCAGGCCTTCGAGCCGTACCAAGCCTTCGAGTCGGACCAAGTAGAAGGCGCCCGCTACTATCTTGAGTACTGCTCTGGAGGCGACTTGCATCAGCTGGTCGACCAATACCAGAAACAGGGCGTGCTGTTACCGGAACTCTTCATCTGGCAAGCTTATCAGCAATTGGCCTCAGCCCTCGAGTTCCTGCACCGAGGCTTCGACCCCAGATGCAGCGATCCCGATCGGCGAGGGGTTTGCCATCGTGACATCAAACCCAGCAACATCTTCCTCCGTCCCACACCCGACTCCGACTACCCAGACGTCGTCCTCGCAGACTTCGGCCATGCGACTCTGGCCTTCGCCACCTACGATCCCGCCGGGACATCACTCTGGCAAGCCCCTGAGCTCCCGAGACACTCCCCCAGGGGCGACGTTTACTCCCTCGGCGCCGTCATCCATTTCCTGATCCATTTCAAGCCGCCCATCGCCCAGCTGCCTGACGGAGCTTCCAACACCGAGAGCGTGATGGACGCATGGGCGGCAGCGCCAGAGGCGCGACAGCCGATAATGCAATTCGTGGAGGAATACAGCGAGGAGTTGATCTGTGTGATGTTGATTGCGCTCGAGGCGGACGAAAATAAGCGGAAGAATGCGAGCCAGCTCTTGAACTTTGTCAGTGATTGCATCGAGCACAAGTTTCCGCCGGGCTCTGATTTGCTGCGGAAGGCGGAGGAGTGGCCTATGGCGGAGTGGGCTTTTGATCATATGATGCCTGCGGGCGGCGGGTTTGAAGGGGAGGATGGGGAGCCCGAAGAAGAGGATACGGGTACGGAGCAGTATTTTGAGATGATGGAGAGGTTTGGGTATTGCAATTCGAGGGAAAGTTCCCGGTCTCTTTCTCCTGCTCCGTCTGATCGGCGGCGGGGAGTCTCTGGGAGGCGCTCGAGAGGGCGGGAGACATCTTCGATTTCCTTACTTGGTGAGACGTATTGAAAGTGATTTCCTTCGAGATTAATCTCAGTGGGTAAAACTGAACAAGATGGCAAAATATATACACTCAGCTCCCATTTTCTCCCTCGCTTAAGCTTCTATGACATTGGCTGCCGCCATTGACTAGAGCGGCTGGCTGTACGTAGACGCTCCTAGACGGTGACTTCTTGATCATCCTTGTGCTCTACCTCGGCTTCAAAGTCCTTGACAGGATTCCGATACACTTGTAACTTGTGCAAGGAAATCACATCCCCTTCGCAATAGGAGAGGGAGCTGTTCGGACAGCCAGAGAGGTAAACGCCAAGACGTTATCTGCACCACCTGCACCTTTGCGCTGCATTTCCGAAACCCATTGGAAATCCTCTAAGAAATGCAGCGCAATGGATGAGTACGACAGAGGCCACCAACCATCGGGTTGAGTGTTTAGCTTTGGGCGATTTCGCGAAAAGGTCGGAGGATTCGGCACCGTTGCGCCCTTTACTTGCGACGCACTCAGCCTCACCGCTGTCAGTTTGGATTCTTCACGCCGAAGTGGTGCATGGACACATGAGTTTCAGGATGTGGAAGCTGAGGGTATCTAATTTCGGCTCAGAATCCTTTGTATTCTTGCTTAATTGGCGCGGCTAAAGTAGTTGGTCAAATTCGGTTCCGACTCGACACTCCAGATTCGCCGTAAGCGCATGGCTTCTATGTGTGCAATGATGATTGGGCGAGTGAGCAGGTTCTCGTACTTGTGCAGTAAGGTTGTCGGTGGCTGCGACTGGATGGCCGCGGGGAGGACAAAAACGTTGTACCCTCACTGCCTGTTTTAGAGTGCTTAGAGCCGGGGAGTGGACTCCGCATAGCCTTCGAGCAGCTTGCATGTGGCTTCCCTTCCCAGATCAAAATTCATATCGGTCGCGCGGAAAAGGTCCTAGATGTCACTCCGCCAACAGATGGCCAAAAGCAACGACCTTAGTCTCGCCCGGCTCATCCCACAAAACAACGAACTGTGCTCCCCTCCACTCATTTGCTTCCAAATACTGTGGAAAGAGGGGTAGCACCTCGGACCAAGAATCCCAGAGTAAGGTCTCACCAGGCTCGACTCTCAGCCACAAATTCACATTGCCATCCGAGTAGGAGTATGGGAGTTGTCCCATTGGGGTGGCCCAGTAACCCGCCCACACGCGCTGTGCTACTTCATCTACTGCCTTCATTACACAACGGTGGGTCTCAGATACGGGGAGTGGATCTCGGTAGCCGTACCACTCGAGCGTTATGGGTGTACCGTGAACACGCATGTCCCAAGGGTCGCTCACATTGCTGGGTGCGGTTAATCATTGCTCTGAAGGGGCGGTATGGGCGATCTTGCTTACAGTAGTGAAGGATGGAAGTTCACCGGTGGTGCTGGCAAGTTGAACGGGAGTGTTGAGTTGCGCGATTCCCTAAAACTCCCGCCTGCAAGTGGGGCTGCTGGAGGTAGAGCTGCGAAGGCAAGAGCCGGTAGACAAATTGTGATTGCAAGATAAAACGGATAGGAGATCTCCATTGTCCTGTGATATAGGGAAATGGGCTATTGCGAAGCCAACTTGAGGAGATGGACCCATCGACAGGATGCTTCGCCAGTCGCCTCTACCGGGCACTCGGAACCGCGTGATTCTGCGGAAAATGGACGTACTAGTACCCCGTCTTCTACATCAAAACTGAAAGAGCACATTAATGAACAGACGAGCATGAAAGAGTACATGAAGATACTGGGGAAGATTGAAGTGGGAATGTCACACAACAGCTAGCTATCGTTTTCTACCTCTCCTCTCCAATTGTCTTTTCGAGTTCGATGAGCTCCTCCCTTCCCGCATAGGTATCCCGTCCGAGACACAGTAATGTTCTTGATAGCTCATGGTTTATTGACTTGCCATTGACGTTTGTGGGCCTTTGCTGTTCGACATTCTAGGATTAGGACTGTCATTGAATCACAATCAAGTTCGATACTGGACTGCTCTTGAGGGGGATGTGGGGTTTAGTGCAGCTGTCAAAATTGCCAAGCCTGCCAAGACAGGGATCGCGAGACTGACGCGCTAAAAGCAATGTAGTCTCCTGCGTTGGACTGAGAACCTATCCCTCCACTCCCCGAACTCTCTCTCCGGATCGTGATCATGGAGGGCCATCGGCGGCTACTCACTGCATCCAGTGGGTCCTATGCGTCATTACATGTTGACTTTGATTGGTTTCACTCCTAAAATACCATTGCCGCCCTCCCGATGCTAGGTATCATCGTTGTCCATGGTAGTTCTATGCTGGCATGGGAAATCACGCACCGTACTTTTCAATATCCTTTACATGGACGGAAAGTAGTCGCCGGTGGAGTCGATAGCTGCAGTAGGACCAAGAAGCAGATTACATGCCTAGGGGACAAGAGCGCTGAGACCGCTCGTAACCCAGCACAGACGTGACAGCTGACCTCCTGAGACGGAACGGCTATTGAGCATGAAACTTCGCCTCATTGTTCTCATGACCAGAGATGACCTGAAGAAACAATAATAATAATAATGTCAAAGCGTCAATGCTACACGACAGCTCCCCTGAAAGAGAAATGCCAATATCCAACGCCCCCAGATCTGTGACCCAATGTCAGACCAGGGTCTCCAAATCTATGACTCTTCTCCAAACTTAGCATGTCCAAAAAGCCCGATACTGTAGCTTGCTTCATCAGTACCCGACGAGCGGATCGATATCCAATTGGTGCATCTATGCTGGGGAAGGCGGCCGAGGACTAACCTATATCTCGTCGAACTGCCCTAGTGGTGCTAGCGCACTCTAGCGCATTACTTCATTTTCCCTTCTTTCATCGTCCCAAACGACTTAGAACTGTGACCTCCTTCACCACCATCCGTACTTCATCAAACAACGCGTCGCAACAGCTTTGCGAATTACAAAACTTGCTTTGTGCTACCTCTGCGATCCTGTTCTTGCCATCTTTGACCGTCCATCACACAATTTGCTCCTTCCATTGCATCCGGCGCAAACCCAGCCTTACACCGCTTCTGAGACAGCAACCGCGCGCACTCGCCCAGACGACTCTAAAACATGCTTCTCCCCTCATCGCTCGATTGCGCACCTCGTAAGCATCCGCGCACAGCTTCCTACACACCAGCGACAACGATGCTGTCACCAACCTCATCGACTTGCCAGTCGCCCAGCTCCAACAGGTACAGCACATGTCGCGCCCTGCAATCACTCCTCGCTAGCAACCTTCCCACAGCGCTGTCTTCGAGTCCAAAGATCATCCGTGCACCACCACACCTCGGCAGCCCCATCGTACTCAAATCTGGACCTCGCGCGCAACCGAAAAAGGCGAAGTCGCATACAATGCCAGAAGCCAAGATCACAAAATCGCAACCACGCACGCCACCGCGCAGCAATCTCAAGCGTCGCCGCTCCTTCAGCGACGACGATGACGGTCCCGCGCGCGACCAGGAAAACGTCGAGCATGCCAGACCCTCCACACCGAAGCGCCAGCGCACATGTCCGCCCACCCTCCCTCTCGGCCTCGAGCGCGAGGACTTCGACGCACTGAAACCCGTCGCCACACCACCGCACACGCCCGAAGCGAAGCCCCCACCCGCGCGCGCATGCCGAGGCGACAACGACCCCGAGTGGTCCACGGGCGACGACAGCGCGCTCGTCGCGCTCATCCTCAACAAACTGCGCCTGCGCCAGAGCGACTGGGACGAGTGCGCCAGGCGGCTCGGCAAGGAAAAGGACAGCATCGGCAAGCGCTGGGCCCACCTGCTGGGCGATGGCGAAGTCGGCCTGCGCAGGGGTTCCGGCCAGCAGAAGAGGGGCAATGTGCACAAGATGGAATTCGGGCCGCCACTGCCGGCGGTGCCTAGGGAGTGAGGCGACGAGGGAACTGCGGGCGGTTCGTTCTTCAGCAGCGCGGAAGGATTGATATCGAGAAGGAGAGGAGAGGAAGTGGATGGGTTCAACGCGTGCATGCATAGGATGTTGGCAAACTCGGGAAGCGAAGAGGAGGATATACCCCGTCTCGTTTGAGACTGAGACATGGTTTTTCGCATTCTGGACCGATTTTCATCTTTTTTTTTTACTTGGGATTGAGCATAGACAGACAGACAGACAGGCAGACAAAATTCCTACTCATCATTTTACCCATACGTTTCGTGTTTTTACGTATTGTGCACTCTTGGCGTGTGCCACATTGCCCGTGTAAGAGTGATAGGATGGGTCTTCGCTGCAGGGCTTTGATAGTTGTTATGCTCCCCATACGAAGTCAACGTTATCTTCGGTGACGGGTCCGTAGCCGTGTCATAGTCTGCGAGGGATTAGGGGCCAAAGCAGACCCGATCGGCGATTCGGACCCCATGAAACTGGCTTGTAATGGGAGCTGAGTTGAACCGAGAGGAGGATAGTCTATGTACCGATCGCACTCAGCTATGAGAGCTAGGGCTCTAGCATGATCATGCATTGCCAACGATCCCACCCACCGCGTTCGCCAGCCCGGAAAACAGAACGCCTTGCAACACAGCGTCTCCCTCGGCAGCAGTCCACTGCCCAGCATCGACCAATCTCTTCTTCCAAGTCTCCTTCTCATGCTCCTTCAATTCCTCCCACCTCTTCGCCTCATGCTCGCCCTCAATCGCCTCATTCGATTTCCTTAGCTCCGCCGACAAAGCAGTCTCTCCTCCTTCAGCAGGTGAATGCTTGACGATGATATCTGTTCCGTCGTTCCCATTGTCCGAGGTATCACCGCCCAAATCCCTTCCCTTGAGAAGGTCTCGTAGACCCAGCTTCTTCTGCGCCTTTGCCGCTGCGCTCTCGACCACGTGTAATGGTGTCTGTACGGCTTCCGAAGCTGCACTCAGCGACGTCTTTACAGCCTCCGAGGTGACTTTGGCGTGCGAGCTTGCAGCACTTAGGTAGCCGTCCTCAAACATGTATGGTCTGGCAATCCACGAGTGGATTGGCTTGCTGAGCCATCCTTTTGCGCCCAAGTACTCTGGTGTGCCACCTCTTATCTCTGTAAACGCTTGTAGGAAGAAAGCCCCAATGGCGATGGCTAAGAGGGCGACAAAGGTAGAGATGGTGTTCTGGGCGACACTACTGCGGACAGGGGCCTTGAGGAGATAGTGCGCTGGCTGATCTTTGGGAGGTGGACTTGGATGCGGCGTCAAGGGTAGGGTGTGCACGACGCAGGTATTTGCAATAGATGTAGAGGCGAGCTTAAGGTATTGAGGTGGTGTAGAATTCCAAGGTGTTCCTGGCGGGTTGAACGTGGAGAAAGCGAGCGAGGTGATAGAGGTTGGGTGGACAGAGGGAAGGAAGCTGTGAGGGCGAAATTTGACCTTGCCGTAGGGCGAGGATGTGAAACGGTCGACGGTCAAGATTGTGATGGAGGTGTCGGCGCCAGCAATGGCGATGGCGTGTTGATCTATTTGTGAGTAGGAAGCAGTGGGAAGGAGAGCGACGGACATGGCCGTGGCGGATTTAATCTTTTTCTGAAGGCTTTTGCGGAGTATAATCACGCCGGATATTTCGAGCAGGAGCAGCTCTGCGCCTTTGCTGTTGATCCTGTTCTGGAGGAGAAGGAGGAGAGTAGGAGTGAGGAAGCGCAGGCAGCGGAACTTGGGCCGAGCCTTGTTCGAAGCGAAGGCGTCTGGGTGAGGAGTACCATGTATATTCTGAATGCTCTGTTGTGTACCATTGTCTTTCTTGCTGTAGTCCACCTCTGTGACATAGACCTCGTAGTCTGTGCAGTAGGCGACTCGGAATTTGCCCTCCTGTTGGCCGTCGTCTCGTTCAAGGCCAATGATGTCCACATCTGCAGCTTCTTGCTTCTCTTCAAGCTTGATCCGGCCCCTGATGTCATTAGATCCTGGTCTGCTGGTGTCCGCAGCGAACAACACGATCTCCCCCACTGGCGCCAGCCCAGTAGCCACTGCTCCTATTCTGGGACCGTTGTCCTTCTTCTTTTTTGACAGCCTCAGCACCCTTTGGAACGTTTCCTTCGTCTTGGAATTACTCGGTGCAAACAACGAGGCCTTTCCCAACGCCTTGGTCTCCCCTTGGTATGCTGTAGGCTTTCCTTTCTTCGAGTCTTCTCCATCTCCGCCCGTCTTTCGCCGAGGGGGATATTCTAGCAAGAAAGATCTCAGATGCTCGTTCTTGCCTCTCTGCTGCTCGGCAGTCGAGGAATTGATGCCTGCAAAAGCTGTCGCCCATTGCTCCGTAGATTGCGCATAGGATAAGGATGTGACCGAGTCCTCGTCGCGCGAAAGGTCGATGTCGACGATTTCTGACAACTCTGTTTTTTGAGAGGTATTGAGCAGCGTCTATCGAGAATAACGTAAGCACAGTCCTTGTACACCAATAGCTTACCCACTATTTTGTTCCCCACTCCGCTCCGTCCTTCTCCTCCACCTCCGCCAACGAGCAGAAAATCGCTGTTCTGCGGGTCGAAGTCGGCCGCATAGAGGGGGTAAGTCAAGGTGATCTTAGCGCAGGGTATCGGAGGGGGAGCCATCAGATAGATAGAGAGGCAAAAGGTGAAGAAAGCGAAGGATTTAAAGGATATATCTGCAAGATTTGGGGAAGATCTTCTTTATTTGGTGCTTTTTGCAGAAGCCAGGTTACCAGGCCGAGAGTCGCAGATCTTAGGCCAACTTCTACACAGGTATCATCTAGACCAACACCAGACATGATCTACATTGAAATTCTTCCTCCACATGGTCAACATCGAGGTCAGGTACTCGGCACCGTCTTCTCGGCATTGTGTCCTTTTCGTTGACCCATAAAGTCTACCGGACGTCCAAGACAATGGTACAGAAGTGGAGAGCAAGATACAAAGAAGACCGGTCATAGTACACCATGTCTGATCAAATGTTGATGTGATCGCATATCATCATTCATCAGCAGGTCCGTCTCCCGCGTTAGATCATCATCACATCAGCTTCCTCGCTATCACAAATTGGACACGGATGAAAGCACGCGCATCCGGTCTCATTACCTCCTCTTGTACCTTTCGACAAAGCCCCCTCACATCCTCTTCTTTCCACCCCAGATGCTTCGTCAGTAGTCGTAGACTCACAGCCTCCAAACCCTCTAATACCGCTATCATTGCCATCTTCCCAGTCAGCTTTTTTCGCGGATCCGGATCATATGTACCCAGCGGAATTTCGAATACCCTGGTCTTTGCCACACTGAGACCAGCGTTGTCAAACATGGGCTTCTTCAAGTGATCCAGATCGAGTGGCCTTCCAGACATGTCAGCCGCCGATCGAATAGCACCATTGAAGATGCTGGTATTCGAGTTTGAGGTCTCCCTTTTATATTGTATCGGACCGGGATCGGCGATCTCGAACGAGCCGCCTGGCTTAAGATTCTTAGATACTTCAGCATAAACTGCGCCCCAGTTCGCAAAAGCGCCAGATAGATTGCGCATGTGTATGAAGTCGAAAGGCTCATTATAGGCCCATTCGTTTTGCGCGTCGTCGAGCTCGAAGTAGACGTTGAGAGGGGCGCTGGGAGGTTGAAAGGCATTCGTGATGTCTGTAGCAATGATCTCGGCATTTGGGAAGCGCTCCGCAATGGCTGTTGCCCAGTCTCCGGTTCCGGTACCGATGTCGAGGATCCGTTTTGCAGACCGTGGGATGAGGCCCCAGGTCAATTGGTCGTCAAGGGCGGGCATGTAGGCTTGATGGGCGATGGCAAGGCGAGTCTGTTCGGGTTCGTCATTGGGCATGTAATAATCCTCGCTGCAATAGCGTCTGCCGTTCTCAAAGTGCTCCTCGACAAGGCTACGGGTGATAGATCTGGTGGAATGCCTGAACAAATTAGAACATGTAAAACAACACAAGACTATTGGAGAAAAAAGCTCACTTGGACACCTCGGAATGTTCTGGCTCGGATGAAGTTCTGGGGATGCCTTCATCCGTAGGCTCGTCATCTTTCGACGCCGGTTCTTGGTCATCTACCTCTATATGTTGATCCATAAGTAGTGGAGTCGACCTCAATGCAGCCTCGAAACTTTTCGGAGTTAGAAAAAGGAAAGGGACAGAGATAACGCACTTGATGGTAGCGACCGGGGGCTGCACAGAGGAGCATTATAGACAATGAACGGATAAGCGAATGTATGGTCTATGAAGGATGCATGCAAAAATCTAACACAGTAGGAAGGGACAAATCACCAATGAGAGAAGGAGATGAGACAGGAGAGTGTGAGTACAGGGACAAAGGCTGACCTATGAAAGATGAGAGCATTTCTTTTTCGAACGATGTAACGGGACGTCCTCGGGTAACTGTGGAGAAGGTTTTCTTCGAGGCGATTCTGGATCTACAGCTACTGCATGTACGCTGGTGGCATGGCCTGCAGTAGCTTCAGTAACGGCCAAACGAAGGCCTGGTCTACCTAAGGTAATCCCTCGCCTTGGCTTGGTCCACCAATTTCAGTGGTTGAAGTTTGATCGTAAGGCATACTTCGAACCTCTCGCTGTGACGCGGTTTCTCTACAACAACCAGAGATAATGATGAGGTGATGTAAACCAAAGAAAAGACACCTCGGAATCTCGGTTCAATAGTAGGATGGAGAGCATTCTACAACAATATTTCACACATCGCCTAAGCGCGCTCGTCGCTTAGGCTAGATTGAACGGCTGAACCAGAGTCTCGGGTCAGGAACAAGGGTTTCATCCATCTCCTCAAACATAGTGTGCTGTTAGAGTGACGATAGCCAATGGCTTTCTCTGGAGCAGATGTTTCCTCTTCCTTCGTTCCACTGCACGTACTCTTGCGGACGATTGTCGTGGCTAGCCGCCCAACGATTCGGCTCCCCTCAGGATCGCAATGCAGGGGTATATAACCGCAATGCAGTACAGCACAGCGCTGCGTTCCGGCCCATTCATAGCAGCGGTTGAATCAGTCGGTTTCTTGCTGTGTGAACTCTGGCAATTCCTCCTGCACATCCGCCCACGTCTTCTGGCCATCCACAAGGCTTCGGATTGCTGCACATATCGTGTCCTCATCCGATCGCACTTGTTTCGTACTATCACGATCTCGAAGGGTAAATGTACTATCCTTGACTGACTGGAAATCTACTGTGATACCAAGAGGTGTACCAAGCTCGTCGTTTCTCGAATAGCGTTTGCCGATACTTGCCGAAGAGTCGTCGACACGGTTGGAAATGCCAAGCCGACGCAGCTTCTGGCCTAGGCGGCCCACCAATGGTTTGAAATCTTGGTGACCGGACAATGGGACCAGAAGAACTTTTGTGGGTGCAATCGGTGGTGGAAATGAGAGCACCTATGAAAATTGTTAGGTTTTAGTTCGTGTGTATAGGGGGACATAACATACGCCTCTCTCTTCGTTGCCTTCTCTAGACCAATAAACGTGCTCCAGCAAACTGTAGAGTATTCTGCCAATACCAAACGCCGGTTCGATGACGTTTGGCGTATATTCGCGAGTGTGCTCTACCCTAGTACGCTTCTCGATCTTGACTAGGTCTTGGTCGATTTCGACATTACCGTCGCCAACACCAGGGACATTAACCTCGATTTTGCCAGTCTTTGCAAGGTCGATTGACAATTTCTCGCGCATATCTTGGGTCAATGCATCAACCGCAGCTTCGACGGTCTTGCCATCCTTCTTAAATTTGGGGCCAAATTTCTTTTTGTCCAAGTCTACTTGCCATTCTTCGATATGTAATGGCTCATTTCGTGTCTCCCTAACACATAAAGGCGCACCCGTCTTTTTCGAATGGACCGTAAGATCGTAGGCACTTCGATCAGCGCAGCCCACACACTCAATCCAGCCGTAGCTTGTTAGTATCTCCGCATCCCAACAGTCAGCGGCATAATGTGCCATTTCGTTGGCCATGTGCTGTCTGAAACGCATCTTCTTTGCGTCGACACCGATTCGCACCAAAAACTGATATATTCTCGCAATAAAATAGCCCAAGGTCTCACTATCCACTGTGCCTGAAGCAACAGCTTCGCCAATCGTCATTTGGGTAACGTTTGTGCGGCCTGATAATTGCACCTTGCGATCCAAGAGACCAACGGTAACCGTTTTGACTTCAGAAAACCGTGGGTGCTTTTTGCCACCCTCCGGGTCCACATAATGTTCTATTTCTGCCATCAAGAATTCTCTGACTCGAAGTAGACCGGCTCTTGGCGATATTTCGTTACGGAAGGACTTGCCAATGCAGGCAGAAGCAAAAGGCATGGATTGCTGGTTGAATTCGAGCAATTTCTGGAAAGTCAGGAATTGGCCCTGAGCCGTCTCCGGTCTGAGGTAGCCGGCAAGGTTGCTGCTGGGGCCGATTGAGGTTTGAAACATTAGGTTGAAGGCCACTGGAGGTAGCACATCACCACCGGTTGTAGGATTCTTGATATTGTATTTGGTGATGAGAAGTCCAAGCTCATCACCACCATAGTTGTCTATCTTGGCTAGTACCTCTTCATACTCCTGGATCACAGCGTCGTCTAGCTTTATAGCCTTGGTATCTTTGGTTTTTCTCTTCTTCTTGGCTTCCTTCTCTTCATCGACTTCAACTTTCTGGCCGCGAGCTTCCTTGTCACCCTTCAGTCTTGACTCAAGCACCTCCTCAACCAAGTGATCCGCTCGAAATATTTCACCAGTCTTGGGATCCTTGCACATCCAGTCTGCGAACTTGTCCACGTGGCCGCTCGTTTTCAGCACCTCATGGGGCGTTAGCATTGTGCAATCGACTTCAAGCATGTCCTCCTCCAGCACGAAATGTTTTCGCCATGTGTCAACGATGTTTGCTTGCAATGCACAGCCTGGCGGGCCATAGTCGTAAAGACCAGAAATACCACCATAGACCTCGAACGCTGGGGTGAAGAAAAGTCGACGTCGAAGCAGGGAATCCAGCTGTGAACGATCGAACGGCTGGCCAGTCTTCGTAGTAGTGGTGGCCATGACGGGCTCAATTCTCCGCACCTGATACCTTAGATTGGCAACCGTTGCAGAGAATGTTCTAGAGGTAGATGAGTCGAATTTGGGAAAGACTTTGCATGCACTGAGAAGGCGTGAAGGTCCACGGAGCGAGCGCATGTACTTTTAAATGTTCGAAAGCGAGCCTTGAACAGTCATAAGAGCTCATTGTGAGTCAAAACCACTCGAGACCCTGTAATGCTGCGGAATTATAATACGTTACCGTACTCGTAAGATACGGTAAGCTTTTCCTTCCCGTATAAATCGCTCCTCTCCAAGACCATGGCCATGCTGAGAAAAGATGACCGGTGCCCATATTTAAATTACCACTTGCCTAGCAATTGAGCTCGGGAAATACGAGTTAGTGGTGACGGTGCTGGCAAGCGGTTAGAAAAGTTGGATTTCCTGGGCTGCGGCATTTTCACATACCACAAGTTGAGACATAAAGCTGGACCAATGCTTTCTTCGCAAGTATATGTGTCCCATTAGGAGCGTTGGAAACTGAAGAATCTTTTCTTTCGGTCTTGAATGTCGATATTTCAGGGGCTTGTAATATGTTGACTGCCACCTTTTCTGGCACCACACCTGTGTTCATCTCGCATTGATCATCGAACAGCATGCAAGGTAACCTAGCGTCATTGCATTATTGGTACATTTTTCGACCGTCTGCGAGCCTATGGTAAACTAAACAGGAGGCGCACCACCTAGCAAAAATCCTGACAGGAAAGCAAGCTTATGTAACAGATCCACTGACATTCAGTACCTCACTCCATCAACCGGTGTCCTTACTCTACTGCTTCTCCTCCTCTTCATCCTCCTCCTCGTGTCCAGCCGTCATCCCTGAACTGTGCGCCAACATCGCCAGGGCCAGGGTCCCAACATGGACCAAGCTCCGAATGTGGTCATGGTTCATACCCGCCTCTAGAAAGAACATATATCAATAACACTATCTTTGCAAGATCACACCAAAGACAGACTTACTTGCGATGTTTGCGAATTGCTGCATTGTCGCGTGATGGTGTGGGTCCTGGGCGAGTCTCGAGTGCGCATGGTGTGGGACCACAGCTCCCTTCTTTTTCGCGCCAGCTGCTCCATCAGGCTTCTTAGTGACTTGGCCAGCGGTGCCGTTTGGCTGAGCTTGACCTTGGCCAGGCCTTCGGGGCTGCCCTGGTTGCTTTTTCGATTACTGTGGGCTCGGGGTGTTTGGGTCTAGAGTTTTCTCGTCGGGGTCGTCGTACCCTTCTCCTTGACCATCTTGACTGGCCGCGTCTGGTGTGTTTTGAACGCTACCGGCTCCTGGTCTCTGTTGTTATTGTTATTGCTGCTGCTGCTGCTGCTGCTGTGGTTGTCCGCCGCCGTACGGGCTCTGACCGTAACCTCCGGCTCCCTGGCCCCGTTGATTGAATTGGTTACTCATACTGTGCAGGTGAACTTTTGGGAGACTGAGTGTAGGTATTGTGTGGAGAATCCGCTTTGTTTGGATGCTGGAAGAAGACTGCAGATTTTGGGGCCCTTTGGGAGGGAACTTATATTCAGTCTTCCCGGCCCCTTTCACTGACTCTCTTGTGGATGAAGCATTGTTACAGTGGCGCACCAACACAGCTAGCTACTCGTAAGTTGATATTGGCGGACTGTGCAAATACCCAAGCTTTGCACCGCTTCGACTCGCTTAATCGGGTGTAAGGTTAAGCGTGAGTCAGCATTCGCTTGTTCACAATGCGATGCACCAAAGATGCCAGAAAAGAATTCTTTCTCATCATATTCCCGAGCTCTTTCTGTTGTCGCCTTATGCTATTGTCTTAACGGGATCGATTCAGCGCAAGTCAAATTTTGGCTTCTTAGCGAGCCCAGATTCAAAGCTCTAGTCTTGGACAGCTGCTTTACAACTACCTTATAACATATCTGCGAGCCGGCCCAAACCCCAACCTTTCAGCTCCGGCCAACTACTGCTTTTTGGCTGAGGCGAGCGATTCTGAGTACTATCAAGAATCATGCAAGCTCGCCTGGTGTGGAGCCTCGAAGTCGGCTAGACTCTGGGACTGTCGCGTTTGCTTTTTTGCATATTGATCTCAGCCTTGGAGTTCAATATATAGCGGCAGGGCTGGGATTGCTGTCCTGGGGTTGGCCCGTCTCTGTTATATACCCTCCAATACTCTCCCTTGTCAAGCCAATCTGGTACTGCCGGTGCAAAACAATTAAATCTACTCAACCTTTGTCTCCCACTCATATTGAACCACCCACCAGCTTCAACTTCACCTCTTATATTAAAGGCCAGCCTCATCTCTGGCGCCGTCAGCGGCCTGATCAGCGGCGTCAGCGGCCTTGTCAGCGGCAACGCCAACGACCAGAACTTCCGCAACGGCTGGACGCAACAAAACATCGGAACAGTGACCGCCGCCAACCCAAAGAAGAATGTCATCATCGTCTTTCCGCCTCACGACCAGAACCTCCAAGGTTCCAAATATCAGCAACTCGTCAGCAAAACACCCACACAGACTCTCAGCTACGACTGCTACATCTTCGATTCTGGGGATTTCACGCTCAAGGGGAACGGGGGCTATTTGAATTGGGCGTTTGCGGGGAACTTCACGAGGAATGGGAATAAGCTTACTTTCAAGCCATGTACATGAAGGTCACGTGCGTTATCATGATGGGCTGAGGGAAATCGGGTGGGGGTGTTAGCGGTGGAGAACTAGCTCTGGGAGAGTACACCCAGAGGAAGGAAGGAGATGCGAGGAGGAAGAAGATGTTGCTACTGAGTGTACACATTCTTCGAGATCTCTTAAGGCATCGTCATCCAGCAATGCAGGAGCCAAAATCAGTTGTCACTGTCGATGATTCCCCAATTCCTAGGCACATTCGAGACTTCAATGCCTAGAATTCATGAACACATCACACCACGAAGACTGAGAATTGACTATCGCGTCAGGTTCGTTCTCCTTTTCATGCTACACACGGCATTGCACATATAAAGCGCCTGTACTCCCGAGTGCGGTGCGTGAGCAACAATAAATCTCCAGGATACTGAAGGTGTGTCGGATGCTCACGGCCAGGTTAGAATTACCCACGATCATGAGCAGGTCCGCTTCTTACATCAACCCTTTAATTGTCTATCTGACGTGGCGAAGACTGGGATGCTTCTTCTTTTTAGTCTATACATTGGCCGAGCTTCTCTGTGCCGCGTTCGCCTGCCCTATCTTGCGTCTGTATGCATGAGCTTTCTCGATTGAGAATATTCTTTCCACATGGGGTGCGGTATCCCCAGTCCATGGCAAGGGTTGATTCGAAAGAACAGCTCCAAACGAAACCGACTTACTGGCAAGTACTGTTGCTATGATCATAGCCAGCCATACCTGCTCCAAAATATCGATCTGGACTCTACTCATCTTAGTTGCGCCGTTCAATCTCAGGCTTCACTTAGGGTCTTGGAGACTTGTACCGTGCAGTTGGATGGCACGAAGACGAATGGAAAATGCATCTATGCAGGGACCGTCCTAATACAGGCCTTGATGGAGTGCACGTTTTCGACTTCGAAGTTGGTAAAGTCTGTGAATGTCACAGCGATTAAGTCAGCGAAAGTAGAGATGGTACAAAAATATGGACAATATCATTAGCATCTTGTTTTGCTCCTCTTGAGCTATTCGAGAAGAATGTCTGTCGACTTTGAGGCATCGTGAAAATTGGACGATGTATGGGTAAGCATGCCAAGAAATTGCAGCAACTATGTGCGCTGGATGGTGATTCTGTTGGCGGTGAGACCGTAGCAGTGAATTGTCAATGATGGCAATAAAATCCTTGTTACCGCACCCGTTTTGGCATGAAGTGCCAGATAGCGATGCACAATCAACGTAAAGCCAGATATCTCCAAGCTCTTTGATCATGACATGGCCTAACGCTGCTCCATACACGTACTTTAGATCGGAAACAGACGCCGGGATACATATTCGAAGCAGTGGTAAATGGACTGGCAGCTGACAGTGGCCAGACGAGTGATACTTTCTTGATTTGACTCTACCATGGGTTCCTGCGTGGAGTGGCTGAGGATGGCGGACATTTCCGTTGATGAGTCTCATTTTCATGAAATGATGACGTTCACATAATGGTTCAAATCAAGCAAACAATCCTGGAGCAAGTCAACCATCCCATCCAGCATGCTTCAGTATCTTGAGAATGATTGAATTGGAAGAGAGAGCGTTCATTGTTTAGAAGAATTTCTGAAAGGGAAGAAAGAGCCCTGCATTTTCTCCACCGAGGCATATGCAGCTAGAGCGCGCTAGACATGCAGCCAATCATCATTGATCAACCAAGATCCCCAATGACGGCGATATTTTTAAGGGGGGACAGAATCGCCTCTTTGTCGAGGATCCAGTAGCCGAAAACCCTCGACAATCAGTCTACAAATCCCCTCGAAGGGCTTTGCGACAAGCCTCCTTGATTTTCTCCGGAAGACTTCTACGGGCCTCCAAATCCCACAGCTTGTGGAATCCGGTAAATTCCTCGGCGGTCGTCAGTTCGCCTCCGACAGCTGCCCCCTCTGATGCCACCACAACTTTGTCGCTAGCAGGCCATGCTCCGCAATTGGCCCTCCTAACCAAACCGTCGATCTTCAAGGCCGCTCCTCTCCGACGTAGCAATCTCCCACGCCAGAGCAGCCTCCAGGTCGAACCCCTAAGCTCTGGCAGAAATCCAACTCCGCACAGCAGAACCGCTAGGTCCCTTCGAGGCGAGCACCCATTCTACTTTCGACCGCCACCGCTGCCCAAAAGGCTGAGCCTCGCCCAGAGTGCAATGACCCCCACACCCTCCCAGCACAGTCTCCACTCGGACAGCCCTTCAAAACGCCCACCAACCCCAGCTAAAGATCTTGAATATGGCATACCCCATCGACCAACCCACCAATCCCGTGCTTCTACCCCACGTCTCAGCCACCAGGCATCCTCTACCAAGTCAAACCTCGCCTGGGGCCCCTTACACCCATGCTACCCACACCCAAACCCGCACATACCTCTCACGTCGCCGCTACGCAGCACGACACGTATAATACGCATACCGAGGGATTGGATGATAGAGGGCGACCTAGCGCCCACATTCAGCCACACATACCCCGAGGTCCTCGGTCCCTGGGTTAGCGAATCGGATTTTCGAAATTTGATCAAGAATGTTAATGAAGGGCTCACAGCAGCATTCTCACCATACGGATGGAGAGCTTGGCTAGACGCGGTATTAGGCGTAGCTACTGGCTGGCTATACGAGGATTTGGGCTTTGCGGGCGTGAAGAAGAGGGCGCGGGATGTGGAGTTGCTAATCGAAGAGTGGAATGCAAAAGGGAGGAAGGGACTTGACAAGGAGGACGGGGACCTGGTGAAGGCAATACCGTTGAGGAGGACGGGATACCTGTGTCTGGATATTCAGATACCAGACCCGCATGTCGGGGCTGTAGATGATGAAGGAGACGGTGAAGAGACTCCTAACGGGAGCGCAGCAGGCAGTGGGAGGGGAGAGTAAGCGGACGTTTGATGTTGCTACTGCTATTGCTTTCAAGCATTTTGAGCGTATTGATACCATTTATTTGTTACTCGCATTGCTGGGGCGTTCACGGCTCAGATAAGAGGCTGGTATCGCCGTAATGTAGCATTGCTTTTTCATCGCTCCCCTGCTCTTGAACGTGGTCTTGTTCAATGAAAAAGAAATTACAAACTAAGGCGCTGGAAAATTATATCCTTACGTCGGTTTTGGGCTTCAACCCCCTACGAGTAAGAAAGAGATAATACGATTTGACGGTTAAAAAGCCCCCAAAAAAAATCCTCGTTCACGTGAAATCGGTACCGCTCCGACTGTCCCTTTTTTGGATTCGCCTCTATCTATCCTGCAACTCTGATTCGTAAACCACGGAGCTGGGTCATGCAGGTCCTACATGAACCGATCGACCCGATCGTGAGATTTTCAACAGCATCAACACTTCAGCCGCCCGCACAACCATCTTTCGAATCAAGGACACGGGGATTAGAGCCCGGCGTCGTGGGCTTCGTGGCCATTGTTGAGCCTCACCCAGACCCAAATATGAAATTTTTGGGTTGGATGGATTCGGAGCTGTTGCGGCGACCGGGGAGAGCTGGCGAGACAGGGCATGGCGGTCATCGTGCTGGGGTAGGCTCCGCAACGTGTGCGAGACCGGTCGTTGAGGAGGACGGGGGCTATTCTGGGTCTTTGGATGACAGTGTCATTGAGGAGATCGAGGAGTACTCCGTTCTGTCTCGTCTAGCGTGCCTGGTTCTTCTGACCTAGGTCACTTATCCACCCACTGACTTACTGCTGCTCTGATCGGTGAGTCGGATCAGGGATGTCTCACCAGGGCGCCTGCTTTTCATAGCGGAAACGTGCGAGTCGACGGTCTGATCAGCGTCGCCGTACTCATGAATGGACCCCTGGCAAGTGTCTTCGCTCTTTCATTGCTTCTCTTCGCGTCATTCGTGCACTTCCAGCTTCGGCGCGACTATTACCGGCTTTGTGTATCACGATCTGCCGGCGACCTGTGATTTCCCGGAGAATTTTGAGGAATCAATAGCAACAGTTTCGACCATGTGGGCTCGGAATCTAATTAGGTATGGCAGTGGGAGTCGGATTATCTACTTCCTAGTGGAGGTACGCTCATGACGACAATGCGCTCGGTCAAGATGAGGTTGCAGCAGTGTCCTCGGCACATGTCGAGCGCCTATATGAATTTAGCTTCCGCGAAGAAGACAGAGTTCAGATGCACGAAATGACTGCGATATTCCATGACGGACTGGTCGAGAACTGCGCCAGCATCAATGCACGTATCCACCTCATTATCCTCCCCGGTTCTGGGGAAAAGATCCGCCAGGAAGGGATCGAAGACATAATGCTATCATAATTCGGCTGTATGAGACTGTAGGTGCTGGTACTCAAAGAGAAATTTCAGATAGACGGGCGATCACTGACCAGCCAATGTCTGATGCAGGGCTTTCACTATAAGATTCCATGCCTGTAAGATTCTCCTCCAGTGTAGGCACGAAACTCAAGCTGTGCAACATCCAAACCTCTCTTGTCCTTGACCGACTCCTCCATCACCGAGGCAAGCGAGCCGCGACTTTCCGTGCTAAAAATAACCTCCTCCAACCCTTGCATTTCCTCGTCTATCAAGTATCAACTTTCATCATACGTGTCTCGATGGTGGATGTGCCAATTGTACTGCGGGAACTCGAATCGCCAGTTGTTATTGATTGAGGTGATGGAGTCAACGCGATTGGGGAGATGGTGCTGGAGAGGTGTATCACGTTGAGACTGGAGGGAGAAGACTGTGATGGTTGAGTAGAAAAATGTGATGGCTTCTGAGTAGCTAGATGAGTAGGTGCTGTCAAAACTCTAAAGCTTGTGTTTGAGCTGTGCAAGATATACGTAAGTAGAAAGGAATTGGATGCGCCTCATGATGGCGGCTTTGTCCTGTCTAATTAGAATGCACTCACATGCCTGAATGATCTGAACTCGATCCTCACGGTTCTCTACAAGTCAGCAACAGCCCCAGCGCTTTATTCGCTTCTGAATGCGCTAGCGTTTCATGCTTCTGTACAATGTGCAGTACCTAGTCTGCCAAGGCTTCTCTGTAGATGAGACGTCGAAGGTCGCGCTGTACTTCGAAGAAGACATTACTGCAATCATGGCTTACTGCAATGACAGGAGAAGTCAGAATCAAGACTCGCAGCCTCCATTCAAGCAACGGAGTCACGTCAGGTCCTGTGTGGCGAGCTTGTGACTTTTCCTCCTTCTATTTGCATCATGGTGACGAGAGACCCTTCTCCTTTGAAGTCCAATGAGGAGGCAGGGCAAACAGGCGATGTTGCAGAGACGGCCTAGCACTTGACAGTACTGTCGCCGAATCCTGCTTATTTGGGTAAAGAGAGATGCACTTGGCGAAAGATAAGGGAGGAAACAACTACATCATGGCAAGTGTGAACCAGTAGAACATATCCATCGGCGATGTGACGACAAGTGCGCTAGAATTCTATTAACGGTGACTTATGACACTGGTACTGATGACGACCATTTTCCTTTTTTTCTTTTTTCTTTTCTTCTTTCTTGATCTTTCTTCTAGCCGAGCAGTATCCTTGCCAATGAAAAGGACAGATATAGATACAGATTACAGGTACATCAGACATTATTGGAAGAGAGGAAGGCATGTCGTTGTCGCTTGTCACCAAAATAAATGATCAGCAGAAGATCTCCACGCAATTCCCCAACTGCCGGGGTACGGCTGCTTACTAGGGATGTGATTTTACATGTAAGGCCATGTGCCTTACAGTAATTACAGTAATGTAAGGCAAAAACTGCGTGACAGCGTGTAAATCATGTAAAACACTTAGTAATCCTTATGTAAGCCTTCTGATTGGTCAAATCCATGGTCTTGGCAATTCTCTGCGGAGAAATTTTGCTTATCTATCTGCACCGGAGCCTACAGGCATACTGGCTGGCGACGATAAGTCCGATATTAAGGCGGGCGAGGCATTGGAAGACGTCCCATTACGTTACACACGTACCTCAGATGTGTATAGCCTCATTTCTTGAATACGCCATGGCAGAAATCTCGCAAGAGTACCCCCAAGGCCCCAATGTAGCAACTACATTATTCGGAAATGGTACCTCCCAATAGGAGGCTTTCAGGCCAAATATTAAGTACCTACTAGCGCTCTACTAGCGTGACCGTCAGGCTTATGTGTCTTACAGTAATTACACGTGTAATTACTGTAAAGTGTAATTACTGCAAAGTCAAAATCACATCACTACTACTTACCGAGCTGAATGTATTTAAGGTACAGACTACTACAAGAGTAGTAAGCTCCAAAACCAGGCCCCTGAACACGCCATTCCACTTGGCGTAATTGCAATGTCTTTTTCCAGGGTTTGGACAGCACAGCACAGCTTCCTCCAATGATGATGCTAGTGCTTGTGTGCTTGTGCTTGCATACCTAGGTACCTATACTCTTTATCCATCTACGGTAATTTGGACCAAGTCACCGATTGGAAGGTCTTACTTTGCACCACAGCGACACGCTCAAGACCGTGTCGCCAACCAAAAGGTTGATGACTCCGCGTTTCTGGAAATTAAAGGTGTGGGGTGATCTCCGACCTTTCCGAGATTGCATCGAGTGCATGAAAGGCAGAGCATCAAATGCATCAAATTTCCTTGCTCAAACCCCAGCCGCGTAGGGTCCGAGGGGGTCCAGGGAGAACAGTCCAAAGACATCCAAAGAGGGAAAACGTGTTCATGGCTCCCGTGCCACCAAGCCCAAGAAAACAAGTCGATCAGTCAACCCCGGCTCACCGCTGGGTCCGCTCATACTATCAGCCTTTAGGAGGAAATGGCATCTTCTCATAGCCTCATGCAAGACGAGAGCCTCTTCACTCCACACACTACAACATCCACCCCTGCAATGCGGGACATGGATTTCATTTCTGTAGCCCAGCCTTTGTGGGCGTCATTTTCCTATACTGCAGATCTTGGGCTACCCGTTGCATCTCGCTCTATTCTTCACTTTATTTTCCCTCTGCGTACCATACCTTTCTCTCTGATGAACACCTCTTCATCGCTCTCGAGCTTCTTTCAATTGTCCACGTCCAATGACTATAAGAACTGCTGCTACAGATGCTGCAAGGCACGGCGTCATTACCAAACATCACTTACTCTGCTGCGTCCATGGACAAAATGAAAAGAAGCTTTGGGCCATAGACATCGCTGTATCCTGCCTTTCCAAACCTTCCGCCTAAAAGCTGCCGCCATGCGAGCAAAATGGCTTTACTTAGCCATCTCGGCCATACTCTTGGTTAAAGACTGCCCTACAACCACAGCTCAACGATATGCAGTGCTCCCACGAGAAGCTACCACCCCCACCAAAGATGCAGCGGCTGCTTCGACAACCCACTCCACAACATCTTCGCCTAGTGAAGCTACGCCCGATGCCTTATCAGATGGAATGAGCAGCACTTTGCGAACCCCAGCGAAAGCTACCAACGCCGCAGCATCGGGGTCCACGGCATTCATAACGGCTACGCCAATCGTGAAAGGCTCACTCAATGTCAATGGTACCACTACGCCTAAGATCGAAGGGCTCCCCATACACCCGAAAATTACGCCAGCCTTGGCTGTTGTAGGACCCATCTTGATACTCACTGGTGCCCTCTATGCCCTTGTCGGCATCAAGACTCTATGGCTCCACATCTTCCTCTCGACTGCCTACATTTTCGCCTTGGCAGTCACGATACTGATCGAATTTGTGATGCATACCCCGGTCTCCAATGCCGCCCAGGGCGCCTATGTTGTGGCTGCATGCGTTACTGGCTTGATAGCCGGAGGCGGTTCCCTCCTATTCAAAGATGTTACGGAAGGTATTAGCTGCTTTCTTGGCGGCTTCTGCTTTAGCATGTGGTTCTTGGTTCTTAGAGCTGGAGGGACGATTCCCAACACAACTGGAAAGATTATTTTCATTTCCTGCTTGACCGTTGGTGCCCCAGCTCTGTATATCAGCCGTTATACTCGACCATACGGCTTGATCGGATCAACATCTTTCGCTGGAGCTACTGCAATCGTCCTCGGCATTGACTGCTTTAGTCGTGCAGGTCTCAAGGAGTTTTGGCTATACATCTGGAGTAGGTTGCCGACCTTCCCTTTCAAGCCGAGTCACAATAGTAACCTTACGATCGAACACAGATATTAACAATGAGATATTCCCTCTCCACTACGACAGCCCATATCCTATCACCCGCGGCATACAAGTCGAGACTGGAGCGATTGTCATTGTCTGCGCGATGGGCGTCATGTCTCAAATGAAGGTCTGGAAAATAGTCAGGAGACGAAAGGAAGAGAAGGCAAGAGAGCAAAGAAGAAGAGACGAGGAGAGGAATGTGGCTGATGAAGAGCATGGGAGGCGGGTTGAGGATGGTATCAAGCGAGAACGAAGCTCGTGGGAAGCTGCCTATGGTGATCGTGAAAGAAGCAAACCTCAGCATCTGGACTCTGGCATTGGAACGGATGAGCTGAGTATTCGAAAGGGCTCGTTGAGCCTTGTTGGAACTTCAGATGTCCGACGCTCGGATTCTGAGGGCATTGAACTGCAAGAAATGGACGCTTCTCCAAACAGTCCAAAGAAAGGTGAAAGAGTCACAATTCACGTCATCAAGGATGATGAAATTTCCCCTACCCATTCTGCTACTGGTCAGCATTTGGCACGCTCAAGAGGAGAATCCAGAGAGCTTTCCATCCACGAGTCTCAGACTGGTACATCACAACCGTTCTGCTCCTCGGCGTCTCTCGGAAATGCTGCAGCACTCAAGTCGGTAGACCAGAAGCTTACTCTGAAGCCAAAAATCACACACCTGCCGTTTAAAGCGCCGGATCCCGATTCTGGAAGCGAAGATGGACGCTCTTCAGTTGCCGCATCTGCTGCTTCGGAGCACGTGACCGACAGATGGCTCAAGAGATTATCAGGCACGTCTATCGTACGACAGCTGTCCAAAAAGTCACAACGAAGCTTCATCGCTGCAAGCACGTCGGAGGAAGCCTTGATGATTCCAGAGCCCGACGTTGACCGAGCCTCGTCGGTAGCCGCGACTATTGATGACGTATCCGAGGAAAATGACTCTGAGGAAGAAGCGCTTTTAGTGAGAGATCAGAAGCCATCTTTTGAGATTCTCAGAAAGCAAGACTCTATGCAAGCACTGATACAGGGAGCAGACCGGAGTGCAAATCTCGGAAAAGATGCAGAGAAACCGCCAGGACAGAGCGCAGACAAAATGGCATCAGGCGATAGCCAAGCCAAGGAGGCCCAGCACGTCAATCGGTCGATAGATCCCCGGCCAGAGTCTGTAGCTTTACCAGATTCT